TACAAATTATGAGGTAAGTTGGTATTATGGCTAAGTGACTAAATACTAGTTTGTGAGTTTAGCAATGTGAATGCTTTTGTTTTGGCACAGTACATAGTTTCAGTATTGGAGTATCACAGGATTCATTATTTTAAGATTGAGATTAATATTTCTGTTTATGGTCAAATGAGTGAGTGAGTGTAAGTGTGAACCACCAGGTGGTATTCGTGTAGTTAGTTGATGGGGTGTATCAGGGAGATAAGATGTTTTCTAATGGTAGTTTTGAAGGTGATGAATGTGTCTGCAGTTCTAGAGTTCTCAGGTAGGGTGTTCCAGATTTTAGGGCCTTTGACATACATTGAATTTTTGTAAAGGTTTAGTTGGACACAGGGAATGTCGTAGAGATGTTTGTGTCTGGTGTTATGCCTGTGGGTTCTGTCACAACTATCAAGAAAGCGTTTTAGGTCAAGGTTGATATTGGAGTTTAAGGTCCTGTAGATGTAGACTGCACAGTAATAAGTGTGGATGTACTGAACAGGAAGTAAGTTTAGATCTATGAAGAGTGGGGGGGGGTGTTGCCAGGGATGGGATTTAGTGATTATTCTTATTGCAGCTTTTTGTTGGGTTATTATTGGCTTTAGGTGTGTTGCTGCAGTTGATCCCCAAGCACAAATAGCATAGGTGAGGTATGGATAAATAAGTGAGTGGTATAGTGTGAGAAGGGCATTTTGCGGCACGTAGTATCGTATCTTGGAGAGGATCCCAACCGTTTTGAATACTTTTTTGGTTATGTGTTGGATATGGGTGCTGAAATTCAGGTTGTTGTCAAGGTATAGGCCTAGGAATTTGCCCTCATTATGTCTGGTAATTAGAGTGTTGTCGATCTTAATGTTAATTTGTGCATATCCTGCTCTGCTACCAAACATAATATAGTAGGTTTTGTCAGTGTTAAGCGTAAGTTTATTGGCTGTCATCCAAGTCGATATTTTGATCAGCTCCTCGTTAACAATGGTGTTGAGGGTGGCAAGATTAGGGTGAGAGATGACATAAGTCGTGTCGTCAGCAAAGAGAATGGGTTTCAGGTGTTGGGATACGTTTGGAAGATCATTGATGTATATGAGGAAGAGCAGGGGACCAAGGACACTTCCCTGCGGGACTCCAGTATCAAGTGGCCGTGTTGTTGATGCTGTCTTTAATGGTGACGTACTGATACCTATTAGTAAGGTAAGATTTGAAATAAGCAAGCGCATGGCCTCTTATACCGTAATGGTCAAGTTTGTGGAGTAGGATGTCGTGGTCTACTGTGTCAAAAGCTTTTCTTATGTCAATAAAAATTCCTAGTGGATATTCCTTATTTTCCAATGCTGTGTAAAGCAGATCTAGCATTTTTATGATTGCATCATTAGTGCTTTTATTTTTCCTGAATCCAAATTGGCAGGGGTTGAGTATGTTTTGTGCTGTTATAAATGAATACAGTCTCCTGTGCACGAGTTTCTCAAAGATTTTGGATAGCAATGGTAAATTTGATATTGGCCTATAGTTGTTTAAGTCTGTAGGGTCACCTCCTTTATATAAGTATTGGTGTAACCCTTGCCATCTTGAGTAGTTTCGGGAAGGTGCTAGTCTCTAGTGACTTGTTAAAAAGTAATGAAATAGCATGCGAAAGGATATGGGCCGCTCGCTTGTACAGTAATGGTGGGACATGAGACAGATTCCCTGAGTTATTTTTAAGTGACTTTATAATCTCGGTGACTTCCGAGGGCTCAGCTGGTGCAAGATAGAAGGAATTTGGGAAATTCCCATCTTGTAGCCCTGAGTGGTTTTCTGTGTACCGGTTACTTCATCCTCCTCACTGCTGCCGGTGATAATAATTGATCCGTCAGATTCATCATCTGACAACTGTAGAATGTCATTCACAGTCTCAGTCGGCATATTCACAACACTTACTATAGGAGACAGTGGAGCTACATGTGGAAATGTGAAAGTCCTCTTGGGGTATCATTGGAAACCACTTGTACCTTAGGGTCATTGGTCAGCATCTACAGCGTAGATTGTGCTTGATATTCTGGTGCAAGTTAACGGGCAGTTACTAACTCACTGGTCTGAGGTGTTGTTTCAACTGGGTTTTCCATTACGGCTGGACCCTGGTTGTGTGATAAGGTTTGATTATGTGTTGTTGTGGAGGGCACATACTTCCTGTCTTGAGGGGAATGGTTCATTATTGAGTTCACATTATTTGGGATGATTGAGGGCCTGGCTCCATTAGCTACTAACAAATCATTTAAAATAGGAGAGCAGAGCTTAACATTGCTACCTGCTATCTCCTTGGCCAACATGAACATCAGTGTACCTCTCATAATATCTACCTCTGAGGGGCAGGGAGACATGGAGACTGATGATGGCCCTCTTGTTTGGTGTATGTTGGGGTGAGGATTAGGGTGGGGCGCTGCAGGAGGGGCAGAATTCCAAACATTATAATTGGTAGTGGTGGCAGTAGGAGTCCCACCAGATCCAGGTAGATTAGGGAAGGAGCCCTGGGACATTTTTGGAGATGCTTGGGGAGTGGGTTTCTTAATGTTTGCCTGTTTCTTAGCATCCAGAATTTGCTGGATTATAGATTTCCTAACAGGGCAGCTAGGGAAGACAGCATGATGTTTTCCTTTACAAAGGGCACACTTGGGACTGTTTCTGTTAGGGCAGTCCCTGAAAACATGCTCACTAGAGCAGATACTGCAAATCATTTTTTGGCTGCTGCATTTATTTGTGTTATGACCAAAGTCATAACACTGACAAGCTTTTCCATGGAGATTTGGTCCGGTGTACACCTGGTTCCAAAGTATTTCATACCATTTTGACATATGATTTTGGCTCCTTCCTGTGTCTCGAGGATTAATTTTAATGTTTGCTGGTTGCTTGAACTTTTGGACTGAACACATCGACTCGGGGTTGAGGGACTGATTGCCTCATTCTCCTCCTGTTCTTCAAGTTTCTCCTATGTATGGACTGATGAAGCCACTGTGTGGCGAAACGTTTCCTCAATAAAGATACCCAAGAGTTGCACATGTGTCTAATTTATAATATAGATGTACGGATGAACAATAAAAGGACGCCAGATCCGTGCAGCTCACCATATGTTATGTATGTTTACCCTTAATTAGTAGTATTTATTGCCTTGTCCAATGCATATATTTGATAGAGGAGTATTAGGATGTGATCTATTAACAATAATTGTGGTAAGTTAATGTCAAAAATTTGGTATTTATAATTAGGTTGGCAATATTGTCGAAGTGATGAGAAATCTTACCCAGTCTCTGTATATACGTTCTAGTCTATCATTATTATTGTATTCCAATTAACCATTTCTGGAGTTCAAGTCCTTAAATTTATATACTGTCCTCAACCATAATTTTCCAGTGTTACTGGTTTTATTAATAATTTTTATAGGTCCAACTTTGTGTGAGTGTGGGTTGAAGTGGACATAGGGGGAGGTGCAGTGTTGTGACCTGTTTCTGAAGTCCCACTTAGCTCTGAGGTGCAGTTTACATCAGTAAGTGAAATGCTTACGTCAGTTGTACCTGGTCCAAATTATATGCATATAAGAATTCAGGTTGTCTGTGAACCTCATGCACATAATTTCTCACATTGCATTTATTCAACCTAATTGTTATAATTACTTTCATGGGGAGTATTGCTATAATCATAAGCGCTAAACCCATACATTCATGGGGAAGGAGAGAGCTAAACCCCTAGGGGTCATACAGCGCCCGGGGTGGGGGTGAATGGAAGGCATTCAGATTATTCAAGGAAATGAAGCACAGGTCCAATTTCTTTGATCAAGAGCCCCTTACCAACATCAAGGACCTCTTGAGGAAAAGCTTTTTTTAAGGTACAAAGTGGTGGTAGCTTCGATCATTCACTCAATAGATTGTTCCACTCCTTTGGAACTATTTCCGAACCAATACTTACTATATCCTTTCTAAATGTGCATTCATCCAACCTTAATCCAGCGTTTTGTGTTCTTTGAGGTGTCCCGTCGATTGCCAGCACACTCATTGAGGTTCGCGGTTCGATCCCCGATACGAATGAAAACATTAGGAAGTGTTTTCTTAAGACACCTGCTGTCCCTGTTCAGCTATCAGTAAAATAGGTACCTGGGTGTTTGTCGACTGGTCTGGGTCGCATCCTGGGTACAAAATTAACCTAATTTGCATTCAGTGCTCTGTGTAACAAGGGCCTTTCTATACAGTAGTATGTTATTGATATCAGCTAGGCCTGTATACCTTGTACCTGTAGAAATTTATTATTATTATTATTATTATTATTATTATTATTATTATTATTATTATTATTATTACTTTGTCATATATAAATCCTCAGAGTCCCAGGTGTTGTCATCTGTCTCTTCTACCCGCAAAGCATCATCTAAACGACGCCATACTAGTAATACATACACAACACTGCACACAAGCAGTGTGCAAACTTTATTAGCAGATGTTTCGCCTGGACACCAAGCTTCAACAAATTTTTAAAATAATGTATAAGGTAAAACTTTGGTGTTCAAGTGGCATATCAGCAAATAAAGTATTTCATACTGCTTGGCTATCTTTCACTCACATCGTGTTCGCATATTATTCCGCCTTTACCCACATCTAAGAGACGGTGAATAACTTTTGGATTTTTTTATACTTAAGTGGGAAGGGGAAGAGGGGGCAGGGGGGTCACACCTCGGTGGGAAAGTATTGGGTGCAATTAGGTTTGATCCAAGGAAACGGCAGATTCAATTCTTTGCACCAAAAGCCTCTGGCTCCTTTTGTATGTAATGTAGAAAGCTTCATTCCAGTTGTGATATATTAGGCAGTCCTGCATTTAGTTCTCAAAAGAACTGCAAGTAAGTATCTTTTCTCTTATTTTATACTAAATTAAAACTAAGACATTTCTAAACAAATATGAAGGTTTAGCGCTTCCTTTTGATAATAATAATCAGATACGAGATTACAGTGTATATGGTAAATGAATGCCAGTTATCATGCTGTGTTTATTGGAGTAGGTAACTGGGATGTTAAGGAATAATTTGAAAGGGGATCAAGGTACTTAATGAACCTGTATTACATAGAACAGTCTAAACAGAGTTGATCTCACGATTCTAAGCAGTCTCGGTCTTTTCTGCAGCAGCGGTGGTAGTGGCAGAAGAAGTATCGGATGCACTATCGTCTTTTTCAGTGCTGCAGGCAAGACATGGCAGCTTCTTCTCTAGGGCAGCTCGGTACTTGGGGTGGCTGATGGCGTACACGATAGGGTTGTACACTGCGTTGGCCTTGGCGAACACTGAGCCCCAGATGGTCATGGTAGGAGATAACATGGCCTTGGCAAACATGCCCATCCAGTTTGTAACCAGGTAGGGGGTCCAAGCAATGAACCAAAGAGCCACTGTGGTCATGGCAATCTTGGCCAGGCGGCATTCTGCAGAAGTCTTCTGGGATTCTTCATTCCTCAGGGACTTTATTCCCATCTTCTTGGCCTGATCACGCATACCTTTCTCGTGAGCAGCAACAGCGCTGACAATGAAGTAGTAGCAATAGATGGTGATAAAGAGAGGGAGGAAATACACCCATACGGAATACACGTAAAGGTAGCTACGAGAGAGTTGGGTTTCGGTAAGATAGTCGGTACCACAGGCAGTCATGTTGCCCTCAGGAATATAACGGTTCCAGCCGAAAAAGGGTGGAAGGCACCATGCCGTAGTTATTATCCATACAAATAGGATCCTCATTGTGGCTCCCTTGGAAGTAAGAGGCTCAGCAGCCACTCCCTTAACAATGACATTATAACGGTCCAAGGTGATGAGCACCATGGTCCAGATAGAAATACAACCAAAGAATGACCCGAAGAAGCCATATATCTCGCAGAACAGGGCACCAAGTACCCACGTGCGCCAGTAGCAAGTGGCAATCATGGGAGGGAACATGGTGAACATCATCATGAAATCTGAGAGAGCCAAGTTAACGACGAGGAGGTTGGCAGGAGTTCGGAGAGATTTGGTGTTCATGAACACCCAGATGGCCACGAAGTTACCCACCAGGGAGAGCGTTCCCATTACGATCATCCACAGCATAATCATCGAATACCACAAAGGGTTCATAGGAGGATACTGGTACCAATGAGGGTCCACCATATGAAGGATCTCTTTGGGGACAATATCCACTATTGTGAAGTTCCCATAGGGGTTGGTCGTTGGCATATAGTTCTCGCCTGAGGCGGCTGGGTTGTTCCAGGAAGACATCTGTAAATATATAGAGATTTAGCAGCAAGTGACACATTCTCTGTAATGCACATTGTGATTATATTTGCTTAAAAAGGTTTCCTACGAATACATGCGTACAGTAAACGAAAGTTTTATATCTATAAAGTGAAGTACAATATATTATACAAGGGGCTGCTCTGCATAACAAGGGGCTTCTATATAGTAGTATACCGCTGGTATACGATATACCATATAGTAGTATACCGCTGGTATACGATATACCATATAGTAGTATACCGCTGTATACGATATACAAGTACTTGTAGAAATAAATATTATTACTGACGTATATAACTATAGAAAGCCCCTTGTTATGTTACAAGACCAAGAGCAGAAACTACCCCACCTTCCCCCTACTACCCACACATGGGAAGAACAAGGGGAGACATTACAAAACCGGGACAATATGAAATATGAAAGAATTATTAGTATTATAATTTCATTGGGAGCCCTAAACCCGTAGAATTATACAGCGCATGTATAACACAGATCCAATTCCCTAGATCAAGAGCCCCTCACCAGCGTCAGGGAACCTCCCTTGAGGGAAAATATGGATTAGATTTTGCCACCGAAGTGGCTAGTTTATTGTGCACCCCATATCCATCCTGTGGACGGTAGCGCGAGAGCATATGGATACACAAAAGGCCTAGGAACTAGGCCCCAAAGGGTTAACAGGAATACATAAGGATTTATATCTACATATCTATAGTTCACTTATCTGTTACAAGCAAATTTAGGAAATTTGCTTAGTATATCTGGTATCTTATTTTCATTAATAAGATATCTTGACATGTCACATAGGTTATTATACTGTCTGTCTCTGTATTCCTCAATAAGTGGACAATTAAGCACATAGTGTTCAAGAGAGTGACTATATGCCTGATCACATAATTTACATTTAGTTTGATCATCATCTGTGTGTCTCCCAAACTGCCAGAAGTACTTGTAACCAAGCCTAAGCCTGGCCACTACAACATCAGTCAGTCTGTTCACATTGCAAGTTGCTCCATAAACATACTTATCTACGTTCATGTTATCATAGTGGGTTATAGATCTACTCAGGCTTCTAACTGCATTCCTATAACAATCATCTTCATTATTTACTTCTCTCCTAATATTATTCCTAATGCTAGACACAGTTATACCAAAGTTATATTCTACGTTCTCCTTCTGGATACTCTTCTTGGCTAACATATCAACTTTATCATGAAGGAGTAATCCAATGTGTGATGGGATCCATAGCAATTGTACATTAATTCCTTTGTCCCTAATTTTTGAGTATCTATACCTGGCTTCCCCAATGAGCATGTTGTTGGAGTCATTATATGAGCCAAGAGCCTTCAATGATGACATAGAATCAGTAATGATGATAGAGTCAAGCTCAGTGTCATAGGTTAGCTTTAGCGCATGGAAAATATGGAAGAAATGGATAAATAGACTAATTAAGGAAGGAAATAAAATTGACAAATTAATTAGGAGATTTTTTTTAATAAATAATGCAATACTAGAATAATATGATGAATATAAAAAAAGAAATGAAACCAAGAGTTGTAGGCTGAATGTAAAGAGGACACAGTTATTAATATAATCAAAACAGAAGCGCTAAACCTACAAGGGTCATATCACAGAAAAGAAAACAATGATTTCTAGGCTCCGCACAGACCAGACGAACCAACTGTAGGCAGAGTATAGAGAAATGAACTAATAATTGTAGGCGGAGTGTGAAAGAAGAGTATAAACTAAAAAATATATATAAAAGGATTGACAAAAACAAGAAAAAAACAGCTGATCGACGGTATTTAGAGCTTGACATCTACCTTGATATCCTCTCAAAGTGCATTTATGCTAGTGAAAGGCTCTTGATTTAAGGAACTGGAGTTACCCCTTCCCTCAAGATCAAGAGAGTATAGGTAAGACCCTTTTGGGGTGAGCGAGGAAGTGGGGATAGTGGAAGAGTAGGTTGATGAGAGGAAGGTTAGGAGTGGAAGGGATAGTACCATTACTTAACCCAGTAGCTAATACGGTCGTGGGTCAGAGACGCGTAGCAAGGAGGACTGATAAAGCAAAATGGATTGGGTGGGCGCCTAAACGCACCTCTGAGAAAATCCAATAGTGATGTAAGGATGGGGGGGGGGGTTAAAAACGGTACATCTTTAAAGGTTTACACCTGTTAAGGCAGGCTAGTGAGAACATAAATTATCTATAACTAGGGCTCGGGGTAGGGGCTTACAAGGAGTAGAATAGATTGTGTGGGTAAGTAGGTCTGCGAATGTCTTCAAGGTGAGAGGTCCAGTAGTGATGTAGGAGAGGTGCCCCGTGGCCTTTACACGGCGAGGGTCTGGGTTTGATTCCCAGCGAAGATAAAAACATTGGGCGTGTTTCTTTACACCGGTTGCCTATGTTCACCCATCAGTCAAATGGGTACTTGGGTGTTAGTCGACTGGTGTGGGTCGCATCCTGGGTCACTGACCTAATTTGCCCGAAATGCTCAGCATAACAAGGGGCTTTTTATATTCATTGATGTCAGTTAGGCCTGTATACCTTGTACATGTACTTGTAGTAAATAAAGATATTATATTACATTATTATTATCTCTAGTTTGTCAATCTGTCACTGAGCGTGATACACAAACACACGATTCTGCAAGTGGACGGCGGAGTGAGAGAACGTTTGTGTTTTCACGTTACATTTTTGAGTTATCCTGAGTGCTAGTTTGATCAGAGCTGAGAGGAAAACTTGCTTGTTGTCACTTCGAGCTTCATTCCTTCAAGAGGGTAAGGCGGTAACTAGCTTACTAGTTCCCCCCCTCCACCCCACCACCTCATCCTAACCCCACAATTCCCCAACAAATACACAGGCCTAAGTACGCACACACTACTTACACTGCTATCCTACCTTTTCTGTCTTCTTTTTCGGCAACCTTGCCATGTTTCAACCAGGGATGTACACAAAGCTTTTGACAGCCTATGGCACGACGGACTCATATTTAAACTTATCGACCTTCCTGACCACAAATGGACTTCTCAGATTCGTATACAACTTCTTATCAGAAAGAAGAATCATCCCTACTTTCAACGGCAAGTCGCCCGAGCCTTTCACCGACAGCTGGAGTGCCACAAGGCTCGTGTCTTAGCCCGATACTATTCAACATATATGTAAACGATCTCCCTCAACCTGAGTTCAGCGATGCTATCATCATCCAATTTGCTGATGATGTTACCCATGTAGTGTCATCCACCCCCATCACGAGAAAACATAAGCATGCGAGGGTAATAGAAAAAAATGAATACGCAACTACGAAGAACAGCAAACTGGGAGAAGAAAAGAAGAATCACGACCAACCCAGACGAAGTCCTCATCAGCACCATCGGATGTTTTGCAACAACTATAGAAGACAAAGGGAGTATTTCCATCAGAGATACACCTATTGCCATCAGAAACTCGAACAAGATCCTAAGAAACGAGATAGAGAGATTGTTCCACTCCACATCACACATCTCTGAAAAGGTGAACTTAGCCAAAGCCCGCCTCAACAATCTATACAGATTTAATCAAGCCTCTTCCCACATCAAGAAACACCTGTACAAGATGATGATAAGACCTATGCTAGAATATCCTGTGTACCCATATCATTAACAACTAAAACCAACATGCTACAGCTACAAAGAGTTTAGAAGTCTGGAAGTGGCCCGGTGGTCTGGTGGCTAAAGCTCCCGCTTCACACACGGAGGGCCCGGGTTCGATTCCCGGCGGGTGGAAATTCCGACACGTTTCCTTACACCTTTTGTCCTGTTCACCTAGCAGCAAATAGGTACCTGGGTGTTAGTCGACTGGTGTGGGTCGCATTCTGGGGGACAAGATTAAGGACCCCAATGGAAATAAGTTAGACAGTCCTCGATGACGCACTGACTTTCTTGGGTTATCCTGGGTGGCTAACCCTCCGGGGTTAAAAATCCGAACGAAATCTTATCTCTTATCTTATCTAGAATAGAGCACTCCGCTTCATCACAAGCACCAGGAGGAGACAGAATCAGGATGGAAGATCTACACATCCAACAGGAGATAAATGCAATAAATATAAGGCTTGATGAACTAAAGAAGAGACAACTATACGAAACAGAGAAAAGTCTCCCCAACCAGCAAATACAACCGACTACACACCTCCCCACAGAACCCAAAGAATGACCCTCCAACAGAGAGTGCGACGATTCATCCACAAGGATAATTTCCAGAAACCAATGATCCTGAGTGACCTCCTAGAAGTTATAGATGAATGGGTAACACCGGAACCCTTTTATGTCCAATAAGAACAAAACCACCCCAATTTATGGAAACTTCCCTTTTCACTTATTGTTACATCTAACCATGTAACATCTGCAAACCTACTACGGCAGGACACCACCTCTGAAGCAGCCTAGCTGGCCAGTATCTCTGGGTAGCAGTCGACCTACATCAAAAGCCTTGCTTTCGTCCTCTCCAGCCTATACCCTGCAATCGCAAAAATGGCAATTGCAAAAAGTATATCCCTTGCCAACTCAGCATCATGCAGTTATACATTTGTTATAACTGTGTGGAACTGATGGGTAAGTGTTATACCCCATTCAGTGAAACTGATTTCATTAATGACACTACACACACACACACAATGTACTAAAATGCACCAAAGTGGTTAGGCCACTTACCTTTATTACCCCGCCTCCACTCCCCCTACCCACCCTTTTCTCATATTTCCATCTTTACCCATCCTCCTTCCTTCCTCATCTTACCAAAGCTCTGGTCATACAAATCAAGTCACTGAGCGTCTTCCAGCACACGTTCAATGCAGGGATGCGTGACTGAGCATGGAGTAACTCGCTTGTGACCAAGTCATCCCAGCTGATATCAAGTACCCAGCACAGTCTTATTCTGGATACGCTGCAGTTTAAGATTGTTGGTCTTCGCTGTAAGAGGGCTAGAGGGGAGTAAGTAATCAGAGGTCGTATTAGAGTTTTGTAGACGTGTATTTTAGTAAGTTGTGAGGCATGCCGTAGCTTGTAGAGACTCGTAAGGGCTCTGCTACCTATGGCATGCTTTGAGAGGATGCGTGTGTGTGTACGAAGAAGGTGGTCAAGACTGACCCCGAGGACAATGGTAGCCTGTGATGGGGAAATAAGTACGGGTGTCAGCTGTTCTGAGCTCGGCAGGTAATGGAGGATTACGTTTCCTGTAGTTGAAATACGTAATGCTGGATTTTGCAGCATTGGATTTGATCCTCCATTTTTGTTCCTAGAAGGCTATCCTGTCGACCTCATTTTGTGTTGTGTGTGTGTGTGTGTGTGTATCTATTCTGGAGTGGGTGATGAGCTGTGTTATGTCGTCTACATAGGCTAGAGTGATGGTGTTGTAGTATTCAGGTGTTGGTATGTCATTAGTGTATAAAATGTAGAGAGTTGTGGAGAGGACAGATCCCTGGGGTACTCCAGCATTTAGTGTGAAATAGTTAGAGTAACAGACTTGGAATTTAAACCTCATGGTGCGGCCATCTAGGAAGTTAGAGTTTGTGTTTTAGCCCTTCGTGCCAGACTGTGTCAAAAGCTCTTTCGACGTCTTTTGCAACCAGGGCTGTGTTGTTTCCTTGTTTAGTGTTTAAATGAATGTATTCGAGAATGATGTTAATGGCATTTTGTGTGGAATGGCGTGATCCGAAGCCAAACTAGCCATCAATGAGGAGAGAGTTGTGTTCAAGGTATCTGCGAAGGCAAAGTTGCGTAAAGTTTCGAGGAGGCTGATAGGAAGATAGTTTTTAGGATCAGAGTGGTCTTTATTGGGTTTAGGTAGGAGGACAACAGTGTATCTAGAAGCGAGGGAAGCGTTGAGGAGGTTAGTGTAGGCAGTGATGATGGAGTCTGAAAGGTGTTTTAAGATGATATGGTTTAGGCCAGAAGCACCAGGAGTCTTGGGAAGAAGATGTCTGAGGAGAGCTCAAACACCTTCCTCCCAGGTATGTCGAGTTTCTGTGTGGAGGTAAAAGAGTCCAGGTGGATGTGACTTGTGTGGTGTTGCTTCGTGTGTGTGTGTGTGTTGTGTGTGTGTGTGTGTGTGTGTGTGTGTGTGTGTGTGTGTGTGTGTGTGTGTGTGTGTTGTTTAGTGTTCTATGTGCTGCATGTGCTGAATAGCGTTAAGATGAGGTAGTTGAGGGTGAAAGATGTTCTCCAGATGTGTTTGAAGATGTTTGTTGATGCCTGTGGGTCTGATATATTTGTTGTTGTGGGTGATGTATTTGAATTTGTTAGTGGTAGCAGGGCCTCTGATTTTCTTAATAAAGTTCTAGAAGGCTCTGGGGTCTGTAATATGCTGTTTGTCTGCTTGCAGAATGAGCTGTGACCAGTGGGTGTTGTGGTCTTGGTCTAGGCAGTGTAGAATGTTATTTCTGAGGTATGTGAGATCAAATCGGACTATTAAATCTGTGTGTGTTGTGGAGGAAGCGGTTGTGGTAGCAGAGAAGTAGTCTTCTTGTTCTGATAGAGGATTTGAAAGAGTATCGAATGGTCTGAGTTTTCTTTGGTATTGCTGTGTTGGTTGCTGGTGTAATGGTGTCCCGAATGAGACCAAATTGAGTGTCAATGTCGAGATGGGTTTGTTGTTATAGTCATAGGTGAGGTTAGTATTATATGTGATTGAAAACTTCCCAGTGTACGTTCTTGTAGGAGAAGGAAGGCGTGGTTGGAATGAGAATAGGATTGGAGGAGATATGTAAGATGACATGGATATGATCAGAACCTGTAATAGGACCAGGGGAGATGTAATGTTGAAAAATGGAGCTAGCTCGGTTAGCCAGAATGATGTCAGGTTTGCCTTGGCCCTGGTGGCTGTAGAAGGTGTTGAAGTCTGGGCCGAGGTGAATCAGGTGTTTGTGGTTTGTAAAGTTGTGTAATTGCCTACCGAGCTGGTTGTTGCTAGTGTTGTGTCTATCATTCATGTCAGCTAGTAGGTATCTAGGTGTGTTGGAGTGGTTGAACACTAAGGAGTGGTCGTGTATATTGAGAAGAGTGTTTAGGTCGTGTGTAGGTGGTGAAAAAGATGAAGGGACCAAGGTGGGTATGTATTCTGAGTGCAAGACAGTGTTAATGAGTGAATGGAATTTGGAAAAATTCGTGTTTTATGTTGGAGTTAACAAGAATGGCAACACCATCGTAGGGGTCATAGGGAGACTGCTGTGTAGTGTAACCATAATGGCGAATTCGTTGAGGGGCTTTAAGGCAGGTGCTATTGAGCAAGACAACATCTGGCCTCTCTGCCTCAAGGAGCTCTGCCAGTAGGTGTCCGATTGTGAAGTAAGAAAGTACGTTAAATTGAATTACCTTAAACAATATTTAATGGGTTCGTCACTGCAAAGTTAATGTCAGGGGAGAGGTTAGGGCGAACTCCCATGATGGTTGTGCCATCAGGGGAAATGTGTTTATAGGTATAGTCACGGGCCCGCTTCCTAGAGGGAGAGGATGAGGTGGAATTGACGTCACACAATCAATAATGAAAGTCAAACAGAAAAAAATCTTCCTTTACAGAAGAGGCATCGACTGAGAATGTTTAAACTCAAGAGAGTGTGAGTGTTCGCCGTGAAAAAACACTGCAGGAAATGTGTTGCCTCTTACGTAAGGCAAGTTCGGTGTCCCGTAGCTCCATCGCTACCCCACTCAGTTCACACCTTGAGGTCCAGAGTTCGAATCCCCGATACCTCTGGATAACAGGACGTGTTTCCCTAAGACACCTGCTGTCCATATTCACCCATCAGTATAAAATGGGTACCTGGGTGTTAGTCGACTGGTGTGGGTCGCATTCTCGGACAAAACTAGCCTAATTTGCCCGAAATGCTCAGCATAACAAGCGTCTTTCTATATAGTAGTATGTCACTGATGTCAGCTAGGCCTGTATACCTTGTACATGTACTTGTAGAAATAAAGATATTATAACGCAAGGATGCGAAGGAATGAGAGAATGGGAAGAACATAAATTAGCAATCAATTGCCAGAAAACAGGGAAGTGACAAGAACTGGGAGCATGATTAGGAGAGACGATTTATGTAAGGGTATAATAAATTAAATTTTAGCCCAAGCTGATCCATAGCCACATCTGTGTATGTGTACATGTATAGACGTGTATGCACGTGTATACGCCCATTTGTGTGTGTGTAAATGTTTGAATAATATTAGGGTTATGGTGTGTACGATAGCGTTGTGAACTTCACAGCTTGTGCATGGTAACATTTGGGTCTATCAACTCGTCGCTTTTGTAAATCATTTATCCCAAGTCCCATGTTGGAGGCTTCTAGTGCGGTTTTAACACCCGAACTACTTGGTGTGTTTTGTGTGTGTGTGTGTGTGTGTACTCACCTATTTGTGGTTTCGGTGTGTGTATGTATATGTGTATGTTGTGTGTATGTATGTACGTGTATGTCTGAGGACGCCACCTCTATAACTGTAAATGGTATATAAACGGAATCTATTTAAGTAATAGGTTATGTAATTTGAAAGTGGCGAAACCTGCGACCGTAGGCCTATAGCAGAAATATCGTTACGTCTCCACTGTTTTAGTAGTGAATTTAGTTATAATGGAAGACTAGTTAAACTCTTATTCAATTTCTTCATATTTTCCTGTATATGATCACAGGCTGTGAATTTAATTTGGTATACATACGGAATATCAAATTTAATTCCCCCCCTCCTCCTTTGCTCTAACAATAATTCCACTGTTAATGCAGAGTTCCAAATAGAAAAAGCGTTTGATTTTGTTTTTCATGCTCGTGTGAAGTTTCTATCTTAAGGGATTATCGTTTTACAAATAGTTATAATTTCCAGCCTTTATTATTGCCTCCATAAAACTTGGGGGGTTTTTGATTTTATAATCCGGGGGACGCTAAACCCAAAGGAAATACACCCTGGGGGGGGGAGGGGGCATGGCTAAATTTCGGGAACTGGGGACAATTAAATTCCCTTTAAACAAAGCCCCTCCCAGCTCAAAGAACCTCCCTTGAGGGGGGGGTTATCTGAACTTGCTCTTTCCTACTCGAGGCACTAAAAATTTTGCAGCGTGAGTTTTCTTTTTCTGTTTAGTTTATACACAAACAGAAACCCTTTATTGTTACTAAAACCTATTAAAAACTAAAATACGATGGAAACAAATTTGAAATTTTTTAACCACAAAAAAACCTTTCCTACGTTAAAAAAATTACCCCGTACTATTAGCACCACCAACCCCCACAACCAAAATTCCCGAGGACTTCTAATTATTTAAAACAAAACTAAGCGCTAAAACCCCCCAGGGCTACAGCGCTGCTTAGAATTGTCACCACCTACACACATTTTAAACAGGCGCATTTTTTTTCCTAAAAAAAGTAAATATTAAAAATTCCGTAAACTTACGATTGAAGGAGCTGAAGAACCCCCGAGGAACTACTTCAATCTCTCTCGTTGTTGGTGTGTGGGGCTCCTCAGGTGACTCTGGGGGCTCTCCGAGAAGGGGGCTTAAAACCACCCAAGAACAACCCAGGAAGCTAAAATTTAAGTTTAAGCATTTGCGCGAATGCTCTCTTGATGGCGCTCAAAAGGGAAGGGGGTCGTAGACACAATACTTAACAAAAAAATTAAAACTTATTTTCCCCCAACACAAAAGCTGCTCCCCCCGGAGAGGGTGACCAGACAAAAAAACGTTGAAAATTTTCCTTTTTTACATTTAAAATGCAACAGGGGATTACTGCCTCTGCTGCTGACATTTTAAAAACGCAAAAAGGTGCCTGTGCCAGGGAAATAAGCTACACATCACTTTCTGGGAAGACTTGTTAATTCCCACTCTTTCCCGATAATGTTTGCAGGGGGCCCAAACCTTGCACCATTAGATGATTTAAAAATTTTCATAACGGGGGAAACGCAAACCCATAGATTTTTAGCGCCGTGGGGGGGGGATGGGAAGGTATTTGACTCAATTTAAGGAACTGAAGCACATCCAATTCCAGATCAAGACCTTCACCGATCAAGGAAACCCTTCCCTTTAGGAGTCCGTAATTTTACAGAATTTTTAAAAATTGTTTTTAAAGAAATTTTTTTGAGCAGACAATTTAAAAATCATAACTAATTTTGGGAGAATTGCCGACAATCTAAAAAAAAAGCAGTTGCAACAAAAGGGGTACTGGCAACGTTTCGTTCCCAGTTTTGTCGAGTCATTGCAAACAATATAAGACAATATATATAGGGAAAGTGAGGTGAAAAAGGGATAAGCACAGATAGTTACGTACGGCAACCACCCCGATGACCGTTTGCCTACTCCTGTGTAATCACATTAAAAATCACTATATCCCGGGGGGTTCCCCATTCCCCGTAATGACTTGACAAAGCTGCTGGAGAGCGAAACGTTGCCACAATGTCACTTTAACGGAACCCAGTGTCCTCTTACCCTGAGCTGCTTTGGGGATTAGCGTGGACGGTTACAAAGCATGGCTTGCTTCTGCAGTGTTTTAAAAACTGAGTTTGGAGAGTTGAAGGAGGAGGTCTTGCTTCTCCAGGAGGAGATTAGGAGGCTGAAGGTCCACCTCAATGGGCCTGGGAGAGAGTGTGAGGTGGTTGGAGATGTGGGGAATGAGGCTTCTAGCAGTGAGGTGCAGTCTGTCTCTCACTGTGAGGAGGCTGTAGGTGGGGAGGTAGCAACGGGTACCAGCAGTGAGGTGCAGCCCAGCACCTGCTACAAGTGGCGAGTTGTTCACAGTAATGGGAGGCGCATCAGAGTAAGGAAAGTTAAGAGTGAAGATCTGAAGGTAGGAAATCGCTTCTCTGTTTCTCCAGGATGAATGTACTTCAGTGGCCAGTGAAGGTAAGGGTACTACTGCCCTGCTAATGAAGGTAAGCGCATTCTTGTGGTTGGTGACTCTCAGGTAAGATATGTTGACCGTGCTTTTTGTAATAGGAATAAGAAGATGAGAGATAGAGTGGTGCTTCCCTGGAGCTGGTGTTGGGGACATTGTCAACAGACTGGATAATATCATGTCAGGTAATGGGAACAAGCCCATTATCTGTCTCAGTGCTGGTGGAAATGATATTGGGAAGGGTAGGAGAGAAGAGCTGCTAGATAAGTACAGGTCAGCTATAGATTTCATTAAGTCTAAGGGAGGGATCCCAATCATATGTAGCATCTTGCCTAGAAGGGGAGTAGGAAATGAATGGTTGTCTAGGGCAATTGGTGTAAATTGCTGGCTAGACAGATACTGCAAGGAACTTGCAATCCCATTCATTGACAACTGGAACAACTTTTATGGCAAACATGATATGTATGCAAGGGATGGGGTTCATCTCTCTGGGGCAGGGGTGTAGCACTTGCAGACTCGATTGAGAAGGCCATTGGTGAAATGCCTATGATTTTAAACTGATGGAAGATAGAGGTATGGGTGTGTGTGGGAAACAAGCAGGTTGCAACACTAGGGTTGGAACAGTAAATGTATAAAAGGCATTCAGCATGAAGTTATAATAAAGACAATAGAACAGGTCAGAAAACAAAGGGGGACAGCAGAGGGCAGCAAGGGACTAGCTCCCTTAAGGTTTACTATACTAATAGCAGGAGTGTTAGAAATAAGATAGATGAGCTAAGATTAATTGCAAGTGCAGGAAACATAGATATTATTGCTATAACAGAGACCTGGCTCAATCTGAAAGATAGAGAGATGCCATCTGAATGTCACATACAAGGCTATAAATTATTCCACACTGACAGGGTCAACAGGAAAGGTGGTGGAGTAGCGATGTATGTCAGAGACAATTTAAATTGTTGTGTTAGACAAGATATTAAATTAGAAGCGTCAGCCACTGAATCTGTTTGGTTACAGCTTCTCGAGGGCCGAGAAAAAACTAATTTTGGGTGTGATTTACAGGGCCCCAAATCTTGATAGGGAGTGCAGTAAACTTCTATGGGACGAAATTCGTAAGGCATCTACATACGAAAATGTTGTGCTAATGGGAGATTTCAACTATAGACAGATTGACTGGAGCAATTTGACAGGAAATTTAGAGTCGGGTGACTTTCTTGATACGATCCAGGATTGTTTTTTTAAACAGTTTGTGACAGAGCCAACTAGGGGAAATAACCTCCTTGACTTGGTTCTTGCCAGTAGGGAAACACTAATTAATAATCTTGAGGTTAATGATGAGCTTGGGGAGAGTGATCTAAATCACTCAGTTTTAACATATCATGGAATTCCCCTAATAATGGCAATCAAGTCTCCGTCCCTGACTTTCGCTTGGCTGATTTCATAGGACTGAAAAATTACTTAGGTGGGCTGAACTGGAATGACCTGACTAGGGGTCAGGTAGGTGGTGATGGTTGCCGATATGATGCTTTCCAGGGCATAGTTCTAGCTGCTCAGTCAAATTATGTTCCAAATAGGGAAATCAGATCAAACAAAAATGATCCTAAATGGATGAACAATAGATTAAAATATCTGATTGGTCAAAAGAGAGGCATATATAGGCAAATCAAAAGAGGAGAGGGGCAATTAAGAAATCGATATATTCAGTTAAAGAGAGAAATAAAAAAGGGAATTAGAAAAGCAAAAAGAGATTATGAGGTTAAAGTTGCAAGAGAATCGAAGACTAACCCAAAAGGATTCTTTCAGGTATACAGAAGTAAGATCAGGGACAAGATAGGCCCACTCAAAAGTTCCTCGCGGGTCAGCTCACTGACAGTGATAAGGAAATGTGTAGAATTTTTAACACATACTTCCTCTCAGTTTTTACACAGGAGGATACCAGTGATATTCCAGTAATGATAAATTATGTAGAACAGGACGATAATAAACTGTGCACTATTAGGGTCACAAGTGACATGGTCCTTAGGCAAATAGATAAATTAAAACCTAACAAATCCCCAGGCCCTGATGAACTGTATGCAAGGGTTCTAAAGGAATGTAAAGAGGAGCTTAGCACACCTTTGGCTAATCTTTTCAACATATCACTACAAACTGGCATGGTGCCAGATAAGTGGAAAATGGCAAATGTGATACCTATTTTCAAAACAGGTGACAGGTCCTTAGCTTCGAACTATAGACCAATAAGCCTAACCTCCATAGTGGGAAAATTTATGGAATCAATAATTGCCGAGGCAGTTCGTAGCCACCTTGAAAAGCATAAATTAATCAACGAATCTCAGCATGGTTTTACAAAGGGACGTTCCTGCCTTACGAATTTATTAACTTTTTTCACTAAGGTATTTGAGGAGGTAGATCATGGTAACGAATATGATATTGTGTATATGGACTTCAGTAAGGCTTTTGACAGGGTCCCACATCAGAGACTATTGAGGAAAATTAAAGCACATGGAATAGGAGAGAAAATTTTTTCCTGGATAGAGGCATGGTTGACAAATAGGCAGCAGAGAGTTTGCATAAATGGGGAGAAATCAGAGTGGGGAAGCGTCACGAGCGGTGTTCCACAGGGGTCAGTGTTGGGCCCCCTGCTGTTCACAATCTACATAAACGACATAGATGAGGGCATAAAGAGCGACATCGGCAAGTTTGCCGATGACACCAAATAGGCCGTCGAATTCATTCTGACGAGGACATTCGAGCACTCCAGGAAGATTTGAATAGACTGATGCAGTGGTCGGAGAGAAGTGGCAGATGCAGTTTAATATAGACAAATGCAAAGTTCTAAATGTTGGACAGGACAATAACCATGCCACATATAAACTAAATAATGTAGATCTTAATATTACGGATTGCGAAAAAGATTTAGGAGTTCTGGTTAGCAGTAATCTGAAACCAAGACAACAGTGCATAAGTGTTTCGCAATAAAGCTAATAGAATCCTTGGCTTCATATCAAGAAGCATAAATAATAGGAGTCCTCAGGTTGTTCTTCAACTCTATACATCCTTGGTTAGGCCTCATTTAGATTATGCTGCACAGTTTTGGTCACCGTATTACAGAATGGATATAAATTCTCTGGAAAATGTACAAAGGAGGATGACAAAGAGATCCATGTTCAGAAACCTTCCCTATGGGATAGACTAAGGGCCTGAACTGCACTCTCTAGAAAGACTAGAATTAGGGGGAATGATTGAGGTTTAAAGTGGAGACAGGAATAAAAAAGGGGGATGTAAATAGTGTGCTGATAATATTGCCTGACAGGACTGCAGCAATGGTTAAGTTGGAAAAATTCATTCAGGAGGGATATGGAATTTACTGGTTTGGTAATAGAGTTGTGGATGAGGGAACAAACTCCCAAGTCCCGTTTATAGAGGCCAGAACGTTGTGTAGCTTTAAAAATAGGTAAATCATGAGTAGATGTGGGTGGGTGTGAGTTAGACCTGATAGCTTGTGCTAACGGTCGGTTGCCGTGTCCTCCCTTGAGTCAATTGACCTGCCCGGGACTGGTTGGGTGATTGGCTTAAGCCGGTAGGGATTGGGCCCTGCCCGCAGGGCCAGTAGGCCTTTGCAGTGTTCCTTGGGTTTTAGTTCTTATGTTCTTATGTCTTCCTAAAAGTCTTCACCCGTCCCACAGATTTGGCTAACAGCAGCAGGGGGGGGGGAGGGGGGGTTGTTTAGACAAAACAGACACATAATGGAAGTTTCTTCCATTTAAGAAAAAAGGTCAATGAAACACTTTTATAAAGGAAAGAAAAACTTGGTTTTGTTGAGCCTATTATTTATATATTAATGGATATTACAGGCCTATAACTTTCAGAAATCATGAATTATATATACAATACGGCTGTATTATGTACTCATGGGGGAAGCCCTAAACCTGAAGGGATTATACAAAGCTTGAGGAATGGGAAGTAATCTTGTTTAATCCAATGCTGGTGAAGAGTAACTCAGATTCCTTGGATTAAAAGCCCTTCATCACACCACTGAGGAGAATCGTATGAACAAGAGATATATGATCAACAATGCAGTGCAAGTGATCCGTTAGATCAATATTAAAGGATCAATAAGTAAAATGAACTAATTAGGAAATATTAGTTCCATACTGTACCACAGTCACAATACTATTACAGTCCCATTTGTACCAGTTGTGGAAAATCTTGAATTTTCCTAAATTCAGCACGTGTAAATTTGAATAATATAAGTGTGCTAAAATGATGCTTTGACCCTTCGAGAAATTTCGTGTGAAGGAGGGTATGCAGCCACTGCTGGGTGATTGGAGAGACGCCATTTGTAATTTGCGAACACTGGTTGTCGTGGAAAATTCAGTTAATAATTCGGCGTCTTCTAAGCCAAATTGGGGTGTTTCGGCCTGAATTTGTAATAGGAACCCGTGTCAATGTCCCCTGCTGAAGACTTGGGACACAAAATTTGTGGGGCCTCACGAATTACGTGTGGATGGCGGAAGATAAGGAATACACCATCACTCAGACAGGGAAGTGTGCCATTAGTCCTTTCATTTAGATTTCTAGCTGGCCAGTGTAGGGTCTAGGTGACAGGCAGGTGTTGTAGTGTGATCCATCTACAATAATTAAATGGTAAGTGGTAATACGAATTTTTCTAATAACACCATTATAATTTATGTACAGTAATTATATTCTGTGTACCCAGCAAGCCTAATCATATACAGTCTACATTAGTTTATAATTTACCCATATTGGCATTAATGTTTAATATTGTAATTATTAATTTAATATTAGGCCTAGCTTTTTGTGAGCGTGGTGATGAAGTGGGCATCGAGGGCGTTATAGGTCTGCGACCTACTGTGACTTAAGTCCCACTTATTCAAATAACTTGCCTGTAATATTCAGGTAATACCCTGTAAACCTCATGCAGGTAAGTTTCTCACATAATAATTCATCAAAGCCTTTGTTCAGTCACAATAATATTACAGTTCCATACTCTAAATTTTGATAATTTTCTTATGATTGTGTTAATTGCTAGGGATAATAATGTTTATATAGTGTAGGTGTGTAAGACTGGTTTGACTTTTGAGAGGTGATAAGTCACTCATATAATCTATATTTCCAATAATTTCCTTGTATACTGTAATGAGTTGATTCAGTGAGGTGAAATTGTTGTAATTTAAAAGAAATTAATGTGCTAAGGAAACGTTTTTGCAAGTGTCACTGAATTTAATTAAATACATGTGTACAATTATTATAATCAAGGGGAAGAGCTAAACCCGTAGGATTATACATGTGTACAAGATACCTTTTTTTGGGAGAAGCCTCAAAAAAATGGTGCAACGTATAGAACGAACTGGGAATTTGTGAAGAGTTAATTTAGCTTAATCGGAGCGGATAGAAACATTATCGGCAGAGTTCTGTAACAAAATAAACGAATATAAAGTGCATCAGGAAGAATCCAGATACATAGTGCAATCATCAGAATGGGGCTGATAAAGATGGAAAAAACGAGACACGGTGGTAGCTGTATGAGGATATGGATCACTGCGTACACTAATAATTTAATTTCGCCTCCTTATGTATGGTATAAAACCACACAAAACGTAAATTAGCTATTTACTGGCCAATATTAGTTTGCCTTCCTGTTAAGCGGCGTTAGAATATATCACCCATGGAATAAACAGGCGTCTTATTTTTTTCTAATTATGTGTTCAATGTATAATTAGCAGTAATAACAAACATACTCTTGTGAAGCCACAATTTTTTTTCATAATCATACAGTCCACAATATTAGCCAGGTTTACTGACTTGAATTTTCATACATATTCAAGAATCATTTTCCTGATTTAAGGTCCCGAAGTGAGTTGGGAGCCGAGATGGTGGGCACTGAAGGAGGGACATGTTGCGACCCATTGTTCCTCAAGACCCATATTTCTCCGAAGTACATCAACATCATTAAGTTAATACTATTTGTTTTTTTGTATCAAAGAGTTCCCCCCAATTATGTGGGTGGATTATATAGTTATAATCACGGGGAGCGCTAAACCCTTAGGATTATACAGCGCATGTGTGGGGGGGGATGGAAGGTATTCAGGCTCAATTCAGGGATAAGGAGCACAGATCCAATTCCCTAGAGGGACTTATGTGGGTGGAATGTTAATTCAAGTTTGGGGGACTTTTTATCCCCCACAATTTCTCACATACTACACCAGTCACAATAATATTACAGTCCCCTACTACACTAGTCACAATAATATTAGTCCCCTACTACACCAGTCATAATATTACAGTCCCCTACTGCACCAATCACAGTAATATTAGTCTCCTACTACACCAGTCACAGTAATATTACGTCTCCTACTGCACCAGTCACAGTAATATTAGTCTCCTACTGCACCAGTCACAGTAATATTACGTCTCCTACTGACCAGTCACAGTAATATTAGTCTCCTACTGCACCAGTCACAATAATATTACGTCTCTTACTGCACCAGCCATCATAATAGTCCCATACTGCACCAGTCACAATAATATTACAGTCCCCTACTGCACCAGTCATAATATTAGTCCCCTACTGCACCAGTCACAATAATATTACAGTCCCCTACTGCACCAGTCACAGTAATATTAGTCTCCTACTGCACCAGTCACAGTAACATTACGTCTCCTACTGCACCAGTCATAATAATAGTCCCATACTGCACCAGTCACAATAATATTACAGTCCCCTACTGCACCAGTCATAATATTAGTCCCCTACTGCACCAGTCACAATAATATTACAGTCCCCTACTGCACCAGTCACAGTAATATTACAGTCTCCTACTTCACCAGTCATAATAATAGTCCCATACTGCACCAGTCACAATAATATTACAGTCCCCTACTGCACCAGTCATAATATTAGTCCCCTACTGCACCAGTCACAATAATATTACAGTCCCCTACTGCACCAGTCACAGTAATATTACAGTCCCCTACTGCACCAGTCATAATAATATTACAGTCCCCTACTGCACCAGTCATAATAATATTACAGTCCCCTACTGCACCAGTCACAATAATATTACAGTCTCCTAGTGCACCAGTCATAATAATAGTCCCACTACTGCACCAGTCACAATAATATTACAGTCCCCTACTGCACCAGTCATAATAATATTACAGTCCCCTACTGCACCAGTCACAATAATATTACAGTCTCCTAGTGCACCAGTCATAATATTAGTCCCCTACTGCACCAGTCACAATAATATTACAGTCCCCTACTGCACCAGTCACAGTAATATTACAGTCCCCTACTGCACCAGTCACAATATATACAGTCTCTAGTGCCCGTCTAATATTGTCCCCTACTGCACCAGTCACAATAATATTACAGTCCCCTACTGCACCAGTCACAGTAATATTACAGTCCCCTACTGCACCAGTCATAATAATATTACAGTCCCCTACTGCACCAGTCATAATAATATTACAGTCCCATACTGCACCATTCAGAGTAATATTACAGCCCCCTACTGCACCAGTCATAATAATATTAGTCCCCTACTGCACCAGTCACAGTAATATTACAGTCCCCTACTGCACCAGTCACAATATTACAGTCCCCTACTGCACCAGTCACAGTAATATTACAGTCTCCTGCACCAGTCATAATAATAGTCCCATACTGCATCAGTCACAATAATAGTCCCATACTGCACCAGTCACAATAATATTACAGTTCCATACTGCACCAGTCACAATAATATTACAGTTCCATACTGCACCAGTCATAATAATAGTCCCATACTGCACCAGTTACAGTAATATTACAGTCCCATACTGCACTAGTCACAATAATATTACAATCCCATACTGCACCAGTCATAATAATATAGTCCCATGCTGCACCAGTCACAATAATATTGCAGTCCCATACAGCACCAGTCATAATAATACAGTCACATACTGCACCAGTCACAATAATATTACAGTCCCATACTGCACCAGTCACAATAATATTACAGTCCCATACTGCACCAGTCACAATAATATTACAGTCCCATACTGCACCAGTCATAATAATACAGTCACATACTGCACCAGTCATAATAATTATAGTCCTATACTGCACCAGTCATAATACATTCCCATACTGCACCAGTCATAATACAGTCTCATACTGCACCAGTCTCAATCCTCAGTGTGGACCCTATACATCTATCTACTGAACATTATATATCTCTTATACAAGTACACATACACATACATACATACTCACAACCTACACCTCCCCCCACCCCACACACACACACACACTCTCTTATTACACATGTATACATTCATGGTGTATACCCCTGGTGTTTTCAGTCATAACCTCTGCTTGTTGTTCTACTGCTGGGAAATAACAGTAATTTAGTACAGGCTAGCCCTACCTGCTATACTATGCTGCATGAACTCAAATATTTGGATAAGCACTCCCTATGACTTTCTTGCCGCCCGATGTGAAGGTCCATGTCTGGATGGAGAACTTTTTGCCTGCCAGCTGCACTTGGCAGGAGGAGTCAGGCCTGACCAGGAAGCACAAGGTATAGAGTGCCATCTCCAGCTCAGGAGTGGTGCCAATGAACACTGTGCCAACAGGCTTTGCTTCGTTTAGCCATTCGAAGCGTAACTTGACAATCTGTCCCTGGCAAGGAAAAACAAAAGTTAATTGTGTATTATATTATTCCATGAAAAAACTAAATTCTTAGAAGTCGTGAGGCGACTTGAGAATGAAGGTAACTCCAGTTTCTTGGATTATTAAGAGGTCTTCACGAGCGTCAAGACCCCTCCCCTTTCATTGTAGTGACTGTACAAGCAATCATTAACCCTGACTGGTACCAGTCACAAAGGTTAGGAAAGGTTTGTCAGGAAACAGACCAAGTGTTTCCTGACGCGGGTCTTAGTCATATAATGACCAGCAACTGGAGCTTTTAGTCATCTGACCGAGGCCTTCCACTGGCTTACCGGTCCACCCCTTTCAAATTTACGGAATTACATTAAGTCTTAGAGTCACAAATGTAACGATAAATGCCCAGAGAGGGACCCCACGTACAAGCTAATTCAGTTGCAGCTTAATACGAGGGACCTCAACTTGCTTGTTTTGCACACTATCCGACTCTCAATACCTCACTGTTTTCTAGATTTGCTTGTGAATACCTCAAATTATTCCCAAGAGCTGTTTAAGTCAATTTCTTATCCTTTGAAATCATTCTTGGTTGACAGTTTCTATTACGAATATGAAGGTCTTGGGTGTCTTTGCTGCAGAAAATGGCATATTGGCCCCCTATTTTTAAGTTGGACTTTAGGCATCGGTGTCAAAGTCCAACCCAGTAGGAGCCTCTGCCCTGATGATATATGTTCCTTACCTGGAGGTTACCTGGAGGTTATTCCGGGGATCAACGCCCCCGCGGCCCGGTCCATGACCAGGCCTCCCGATGGATCAGGGCTTGATCAACTAGGCTGTTACTGCTGGCCGCACGCAGTCCAACGTACGAGCCACAGCCCGGCTGATCCGGCACTGACTTTAGGTATCTGTCCAGCTCTCTCTTGAAGGCAGCCAGGGGTTTATTGGCAATTCCCCTAATGCTTGATGGGAGGCTGTTGAACAGTTTTGGGCCCCGGACACTTATGGTGTTTTCCCTTAGTGTACCAATGGCGCCCCTACTTTTTATTGGGGGCATTTTACATCGCCTGCCCAGTCTTTTACTTTCGTAGGGAGTGATTTCTGTGTGAAGATTTGGGACCATTCCTTCCAAGATTTTCCAAGTGTAGATTATGATATATCTCTCCCTCCTGCGTTCCAACGAGTACAAGTCAAGTGCTTCCAAGCGTTCCCATTAGTTAAGGTGCTTGACAGAACTTATACGTGCAGTAAAGGATCTCTGTACACTCTCTAGATCTGCGATTTCACCTGCTTTGAATGGAGATGTTAATGTACAGCAGTATTCTAGCCTAGAGAGAACAAGTGATTTGAAAAGGATCATCATGGGCTTGGCATCTCTCGTTTTGAAAGTTCTCGTTATCCATCCTATCATTTTCTTTGCACGTGCGATCGTGGCACTGTTGTGATCCTTGAAAGTGAGATCCTCAGACATTACTACTCCCAGGTCCCTTACATTTTTTTTCCGCTCTATTGTATGGCCGGAGTCAGTAGTATACTCTGTTCTAGTTATTATCTCCTCCAGTTTTCCATAACGGAGTAGTTGGAATTTGTCCTCATTGAACATCATATTGTTTTCCGTTGCCCACTGGAAACTTTGTTTATATCTTCTTGGAGGTTAACCGCGTCCTCAACAGATGACAGCCTCATGCAGATCCTAGTATCATCCGCAAAGGATGATACGGGTGCTGTGATGTATATCTCTGTTTATGTCTGATATGAGGATAAGGAATAAGATGGGGGCGATTACTGTGCCTTGTGGAACAGAGCTCTTCACTATGGCAGCCTCCGATTTAACTCTCTTTGTGTTCGATTTGTTAGGAAGTTGAAGATCCATCTCCCCACTTTCCCAGTTATTCCTTTAGCACGTATTTTATGGGCTATTACGCCATGATCGCATTTGTCAAATGCTTTTGCAAAGTCTGTGTATATTACATCTGCATTCTGATTTTCTTCCAGTGCATCCAAGGCCATGTCATAGTGATCCAGTAGTTGTGAGAGGCAGGAGCGACCTGCCCTGAACCCATGTTGCCCTGGATTGTGCAGATTTTGGGAATCCAGGTGATTTGCAATCCTTAGCTCAAGATTTTCTCCCGTTTCGCTATCATAAAATTTATTGAATACATTACAGAGAATTTAGACCTTCATAAGTATGAGAAATTTACATCAAGTAATTTCTTACAATCTTAATATTAAACAATACATCGATATTGAGTATTCTGATAACTTTTAAAAAGTTAAAAAACAAGATATGGCATTAACACACGAAATAACAAAAACGGTAAATGAAAATTCAAGGAAATTAAGCTGAATACTTCATGCACTATCGGTCTGCTAGTAATAGAAAGCAACCTACATGAAGATAGAATAAAAGTTCGCCATATTTCGCCCTCAGTTTGAGGTTCACTTCAACAGAGCCACCTTAGACTGAGGTCAATCTGTGCGTAACTTTTTTCAGTCCTTTCTTTCATGAAAGTTTATTTCTATTAAGCAACTGTACATCCCACAGAAAAGTCACATTATATTTCTTACTTTTCCATTTAGATCGATGAACCTAATAAAACCCTTGTAGTCGAGGTCGCCCTCCAGTTCCTCCTTCCTGAAGTTCAACCAGTTATGAAAACCTGCCACCTTGCCGTCCTTCAGCTCTCCCACAAACACATGCTCGAAGCCAGAGGAACCGACGTGCCTCCCACCCCGCCTGTACAGTGTGAACCATATGTCCTTCAGTGTGGAGCGTAGTCCACCGCGGATCAGATCTGCAAGGAGCGTTTAATAATAATACGTAATAATAATAATCCTTAGGTTACAACCCATAACTAGCGTAAGGTACCTTCCCGTGAGGGGTTTTGTGCCAAGCACCTCATTATTCTTCCCATTTCCTTTCAAACACGAGATACAATTAAAATCATGTACTATATTAATGGCATACAAAAGCGGCAAGTGGACACCGATAGCTATGGAGAAGTTTTGCCAACCAGTGGCTTTAGCAGTCCAGTGCAGACTAATTACTGGATTGTTTTAATCAATTTAGGCGCTAAGGATCGATAATTACGGGAGACGGTGGAAGACGAAGTGGGTGTAGGTGTTCATTCCCCCAGTCTTTAACAAGGCTGAAGGTCTGATCCTTCAACCTACTGCACTTGCACGCTCTCAGTAATTCTCTATTTCACTGATAAACCAATGATTGGCGAAACGTCTCTGTATAAAAGATATTTAAGTGTGCACGTACTCATTATTACTTCACGTGTGACTTAATCCAGGTAGGTAATCTTAGATTTCTGACATTGGAGTCTCCGTTTCATGGAATAATCTCTGAAAGCATCGAGGAAGCAAAGTTGATCCTCCTAGTTCAATCCCAGGTAACTGAACTGTAGGCCTGGTCCGTGAGCGTAAATTGGGAAGACTGGCTGCATAAATGCGGTTGCACAGTGGTTATTGTGCAAACTATCTAGCTCTAACAGGTACTTCGCAATCAATGGTACATTAAGCGGAAAAAATTAATTGAAGGATTATCAGAAATTATGGCTTTAATAAGAGATGAGGAACAAATCCAATACGGTTCGTGTATAAGCAAATTTCGACTTAAAATAGGTATGGATAAATTTATTTTACGTTAGCATAGTCGTAAGTGTGATATCCAGATATGAATACACCAGGCTGCGGTTTGAGTCAATTCACGAAACCTACTGGGGCAATTGCAACTAGCTTCTCTATCAGTAGGTTCTGCTTTCATGTTATATATATATATAATAATCGATTCTATATATAAAGATATTTAATGTTGCACGTTAAGTCTTATTAAACTCAGACGTGACTTAATGAATTTAGGTAAATCTTACTTTCTGCTTGTAGCAAGGCTCCAGTCTCTTCATGAGAGGTGTCTGCATGACAGCACGAGAGCTGTTTTCTCTGCTAGTTCATCCCGGGTGCTGCTACTTCAGTGCATCGTGGTCCAGTGCTGCTTCGTATATTGTCCAGGAGCCGCTTGTTGCGTTGCACAGTGGTTTTGGCAACTGCTTCTCTCGGTACGTTCGCAATCAATCTGTACATAATGACGAAAAAATAATTTGAAATTTCAATCATAAAATTATCTTTAATACAACAACACTGAAGGAAATTAATGCCAAACTGGTGTCGTCGCGACCCTGAATCACATTCTCGACTAGTAGTAGGTGACCAACATTTATTTATACTTACAATAAGATCACAGTAAACAGTTGATATCACAATATGAAAAACAACCACTGAGAATGTGAGAAATCACGAAAAACCTTGGAATTTCACTTTTTTCTTTTACATTGGTTGTTTTGCATGTATATATATATATATAAAATAATTATATATATATATATATATATATATATATATATATATATATATATTAGTCAAGCAGTACTAAGAATTTTATTCACAGCAAATCTACTTAGAATCTAAACTTGTAGCCAAACTGATCTTTTAAACGAAACTGACTTACGGATGACTGGCAGAGTCTCCCGTGGCACTGGCTGAGGTATGACCCTGGTGACTGACTGATGGTTGTAAGATACCAGTGTCTAATGTCAGTAGTTCTCAGTCAGCTGCTTCAGCTCATTATTTGACACCGGGGACGCCCTTGGTGTTGAGCTCCTTGAACTGCTCCGCCCTGACGTCCCACCTGCTGTATTCAACAATCAGCAATATTAGTTGATCTCACAGCGAGTATATCTAAGAGATTTCTTGAGATTTAAATACTTTCGAAGAATTTGCGAAGATCCTGGTCACAAAATGGCTGCAGACGAAAATAAATGATAATTCAAACTTATCACAACATAGAACTAGAAGATACTCTTGACAAATGGGAACAGTTCGAAAAATGGCTGCTCTAATTCAATCTAAATAAAATAAGAATGAGAAGGACTAGATCAATCATCACACCAAACACTAGCAAACAAAAATATCTTTCAACAATTTAATCAAGAAGCATTTAGGACAAATTACACATTTTAAGACCGATCTGAGAATACGCAGCGTCGGTGTGGAGCTCAATTAAAAGGTTTTAAGGTTAGACATGATAGCGCCCCGGAATCCAGAAACCAGCAAAACCAATTGACAAATCTTTAAGAACATAGTTCAAGCGAGTACAAAAAAAAATTAAAATAAATCTTTACTGGTGATACACAATACAGACAAAGTTAATGAAAGACTGACCAACACCTACTAAGGCTAGACTTACCAAGTAACAATTACTACTGCAACTGCTACTACTAGTACTGTCCCTAGTGTTGTGTTCGCGTGTATTCGACTGAATAAGTCCGTTTTGCAGGCGAAAGATTTCGGCAATAAAAATACTCAAGTGTTCTATACATCTCATTGATCAAAAATACAAGTTACCAGAACTAAAGCACAAAAGTTATGAAGGCTGCAAGAATTAGGCAAAAGGAGACCATGAACACAACATCCAGGAGTGAGGAACACACAAGTTACACATACTATTTAGAGTTGAACTACAATGAAGGGCAAACCAAATATACGGATAACTCAGAAACTAAGAAAAAAAAACCTACAATGGAGATAGAAAAAAAAAAAAAAAGACGCAATGGTAGGTGGAGTATAATGCGATCCTTCATTCACGTCTCCCCACGCTGTGGGCGATATCTGAGTGAAAAATCCCACCAAAACTCTGAGGATCGCATTATACTGAATCTGTATATTGTCTCAGCACTTCTACTGTGTGGTAAATAAGATGATTACGGAGTAGAAAAAAAATAAACATACAACTATTTCTAATGACATCGACCAACAGGATGATCAGAGGCAGATCCAAGAGCTGACGTTCAAGACTAAGAAATTGTACGGGTGGGCGACCTGCGTACCTGCACGGTCAAGTGTGGGCGACCTGCGTACCTGCACGGTCAAGTGTGGGCGCCCTGCGTACCTGCACGGTCAAGTGTGGGCGCCCTGCGTACCTGCACGGTCAAGTGTGGGCGCCCTGCGTACCTGCACGGTCAAGTGTGGGCGCAGCCGTGGCTGCTGCGATAGTCTCCTCAACAACAGGCTGGAGTGTGGTGGGCACGCTGTTGGTGGTGCTGCTTCTGCCACACCCGTGTGTACCTGAAGCAAGTCACCATTCAGTCTCCACACTAACCATACCTAGCATTTTCACTAATTTCTCAGGCACATTTAAACAAATATTTCACTAGCAGGGTCACCAAGTAATGGTCACTTTTTCACAAACCCACAACTTAGAAATTTTAAGTTAACGACGTTTAGGCTTGCCATAGGTCATTATTAAGTCCGGGACGAACCAAAACGTCTCAGATTTTCAATTTGAGGCCTAAGAAATGTTCCAGCCATGGTACAGTGATTTATTTTCTTGATGGTTGTTTAAAGAAAATTACATAATACAAAAGCATAAGGCTGCTTCGTGCCTGGAAAACATTATCACTATTTAAATGAAATTACCTCTTCAAACAATCCAGTTAAAATCTGATATTAAAAGTAAATCATAATTTTTATCGCTGAATAAGAAACAATACGGCTGGAACACATGAAAATAACAGTAAAAGAAATCATAAGCAAGCATGTCGGTTCACACCACAGACGAACATTGACAATACAAATATGACAAACACAAGCGGACATGACAAACAAAAGCGACCATGACAACAAACAACAGCGACCATAACCACACAAACGAACACAACAAAAGCTAACGTAGGCCGGAACAAACGACAAAGCTAATTTACAAATTAGTTTAACATTTCTTAAATACATCTCACAGTACATCACATCACATTACATCTAACAACACAAAGGAATTTGAGTTATAAAATTGTAAAACAGTACAGATGAAAACCAAGAAAACATCATTTATACGTTAATACAATCACAATATAAATGAACAATGTAGGTTAACAAGAGCAAATACATTCACTACATAAACGAAAGTATTTGTTAACTAACAAACATAACGCATAAACATTGCGGGCAGGATTATTATGGGAGAGCACATAAGACACACAACATTTGGGAATTTTCAATGTGGAAAAGTTTCGTTAATAAAGATTCCCAAATGTTGTAAAAGTGTCTCGTTCAATATATTTCAGTATGGAAGTGTTGACAGTGGCTCTTTGAAAAGGTCTGAAACATTCTTAGGCCACTTAAAAAAAAAACTTAGATTTTGCATGATTAAATGAAAAACTTGTTGGTACTGGGATTGTTCTAGTACTGGAATTTAGTACTACAACTGGAATTTAGTATTAGTACTTGAACTTGTTAATACTGGGATTGATGGTGATACCACTGGGGTTGATGGTGATACCACTGGGGTTGATGGTGATACCACTGGGGTTGATGGTGATACCACTGGGGTTGATGGTGATACCACTGGGGTTGATGGTGATACCACTGGGGTTGATGGTGATACCACTGGGGTTGATGGTGATACCACTGGGATTGCTATTGTTGGTACTCGTACTGCTACTAGTGGCTCAAATGTGGAAGACACTCATTATATTCTTAGTAATTACCTTCGCCATTCATTAAAAATACATTATGAATTATTAGACTAACATTAATTTAACAATGTTAATCTTATAATTAGTAACAATTATTAATGTTAATCTAATTAGTAACAATTATTAATGTTAATCTAATAATTAGTAACAATTATTAATGTTAATCTAATAATTAATTATTATTCCTCAGTCGTGCACGAATGCGCTCTGGGATTACCGTTGTTATGCTACCGTCAGACTCATTATCTAAGATACTTGCCTGCCAGTGAACAGAAAAACACTAGCCATAACCCCTTCATGTTCACTTGCACCAGTCACTTTCACTTCACTGCTATAAACAAGCTTGTAGTTGCAGTGCTAACGTAACTGCTTGTTTGTAACGTAACTGCTTGTTTGTCTTGTTGTGCAGGAGAGCTGGTACACACACACTGCTACTACTTCAACACTACTGAGCTTAAATATGGTCGCACATACACTGCTGCTGCTCTTACTACCACTAAAACAATGGACCACCACTACTTCCTCCTAGTTTAGGCTACCTAACCCACCTACTGTCCTCGTAAACACTTGTACCTCTTACTTAGGCTGGTTATAGTTACTAGACAGTAAATTCTTAGTTATTATATTAACAAATATAATTCTTGACGAAGCATGTGGGTTATTCTTAACTTAAGCTATAATAATGGTTTTGGATAAGGAAACTGTAAGGAACTTTGGTTGTAATATCCTCATGACATAAGGGTTATTTTTTCCCTCGCATCACTGAAGGTTATATTACGTTCTCACCCGCACTTGAATTTCTGCATGTGAACCCCTCAAGGAAGGTTCCTTGATGTTGGTGAGGGGCTCTTGATTTAGGGAATTGGATCTGTGCTCCAGTTCCCCGAATTAAGCCTGAATGCCTTCCACATCCCCCCCCCAGGCGCTGTATAATCCTCCGGGTTTAGCGCTTCCCCCTTGATTATAATAATAATAATAATAATCTGCATGTGATATGAATATTTTTGCCAAAGTTGATAACCAAGTCTGTTCTCCATTATTCCTAATATAATAATAATATGCAGGTGGATCTCAACAGTAAATTAGTTTAATGAGAGACCTCTGGAAAATGTGTGAAATGTAAGATATCTCTTAATTAAGCCATATAAAATAATCGTATATTGTGAGAGGGCAACCACTGCGCCGGTTTCCACTAAGTATTTTTAGCCTGAGTCACTCCTAGCAGGTGTTCTGGGGAGAACAAATGTTCATGAGATGACTGACCTAAAACATCTACCTCTGACGTGTTATTTACACTCGCCTTGTACTGATGTACGTTGTGTTAGTGAACAAAATTAGAATAAGGATCACACTCACATGGCAACTTAATTCAGTATTTGAAATTCTCTGTAAAGAAACTACGACCTCGGCTAAACCATACCCCCGGCCGGGATTGAACCCGCGGTCATAGTCTCAAAACTCCAGCCCGTTGTGGTTGCAGGGGCTGAGTCATAGCTCCTGGCCCTGCCTCTTCACTGGTCGCTACTGGGTCACTTTCCATGAACCATGAGCTTTATCATACCTGTGTGTGTGTTTGCCCCTCAAGGAAGGTTCCTTGATGCTGGTGAGGGGCTCTTGATCTAGGGAACAGGATCTGTGATCCAGTTCCCTGAATACCTTCCATCCGCCCCACAGGTGCTGTATAATCCTACGGGTTTAGCGCTTCCCCTTGATATAATAATAATGGGTGTGCGCACTCGCCTATTTGTGATTGCAGGGGTCGATTCACAGCTCTTGGCCCTACCTCTTCGCTGGTCACTACAAGAGCTTTATCGTACCTCTTCTTTAAGTTATATATGGATCCTGTCTGCTACACCACTCTCCAGATTCTTCCACTGCCTGACATCTCTATGGCTGAAGAAATACTTCCTAACATCCCTATGATTCATCTGAATTTTCAACTTCCAGTTATGACTATTGTTTGTGTGTGTGTGTGTGTGTGTGTGTCATACCTTCAGCTTATGAAAGAGAATAAAATCTCTAGCCATGAAAAAACCGTTTTTCACATTTTTACACTACTTACTGTCAAAAGGCAAAGTATTAGATTTAATTTTTGTCTTGCGAAGCCTAGGAGATGCTATAGGCTTCAGTATACGTTTGTTTGACTGATTGTTTCTCCGTAGGGGTGGAACCGTGGTTCGAATGGTTGGAACACTGGTTCGTAGTGTTGGAATATTGCTTCGTAGGGTTGGATCACTGGTCCGCAGGACTGGATCTTTGGTCTGTAGGGCTGTATCACTGGTTCGTAGGGTTGGAACGTTAGTTTGTAGGGCTGAAACCTTGGTCCGTAGGACTGAAACCTTGGTCCGTAGGGCTGGAACACTGGCATGTAGGGCTGGAACACTGCTTCGCAGGGCTGGAACCTTTGTCTGTAGGGCTGGGACATTGGTCCGTACGGCTGGAACCTTGGTCTGTATTGGAGGAACATTTGTTCGTAGGGCTGGAACACTGCTTCGCAGTGATGGAACGTTGGTACGTAGGGCTGGAATTTTGGTATACATTGTGAGCGCTACACCTGAAACAAGGCTGTTCTTGGTCAACCTCCTTTCTATACAATGAAGTGACCGCTGCCTCCTGGACATTGTATCAACATTGATCACCCATGGCTTCTCCACATACCGTTTTCTACGCTTACACCTGAGAGGAAAAAAATAATCTACTGGTTACTGAGGAATTACTATGCAAGCGCTTATGTTTTTAATTAAACCATATACAAATAACAATTGAAAATTGTAATATTCCAGATATGTAAGTTTTTAAAACCCGTCTGTGTGGTGAAGTATACTAATTAACGAAGATGTGTCAATATTATTCATTATTTTAGTAAAAAAATTGCGATTTAATTACATAAACTTGAAGAATTTTGCCTTGAAAAAGCTCGAGTTGCTGGGAAATATAATACATGTTGTAGAGATGAATGTGATGGTGGTAGTGGTTGTAGTAGTGGTAGTGGTGGTTGTACTAGTGGTGGTGGTAGTAGTGCTGGTGGTTGTAGCAATGGTAGTGGTTGTAGTAGTGGTGGTGGTTGTAGCAATGGTAGTGGTTGCAGTAGTGGTGGTTGTACTAGTGGTGGTGGTTGTAGCAATGGTAGTGGTTGCAGTAGTGGTGGTGGTTGCAGTAGTGGTGGTTGTACTAGTGTGGTGGTAGTAGTGGGGGGTGGTTGTGGAAGTGGGGGTAGTGATAGTGGCGGTGGTAGTAGTGGTAGTAGTAGTGGTTGTGGTATTGGTGGTGGTAGTGGTTGTAGTAGTTGGTTGTGATATTGGTGGTGGTGGGTAGTGGTAGTGATGGTAGTGGTGGAAGTGGTGGTGGTGATAGTAATAGTGATGGTGGTGGTTGTTGTGGTGGTGGAAGTGGTAGCGATTGTAGTAGTGGTGGTGGTGGTTGTAGCAATGGTAGTGGTTGCAGTAGTGGTGGTGGTTGCAGTAGTGGTGCTAGTGGTGGAAGTTGTGGTTGTAGTAGTGGTGGGATATAGTGATGGTGGTTGTAGTGGTAGTGGTGGTTGTGGTGGTGGTAGTAGTGGTGATTGTAGTATTTAGTGGTGGTGGTTGTAGCAGTGGTAGTAGTGGTGGTGGTGTTGTAGGAGTGGTGGTGGGTTATAGCAGTGGTAGTAGTGGTGGTGGTGGTGGTTGTAGTGGTAGTAGTGGTGGTGGTTGTAGTGGTGGTAGTAGTGGTGGTGATAGTAGTGGTGGCGGTTGTAGGAGTGGTGGTGGTATTGGTTGGTGGTTGTAGTAGTGGTGGTGGTAGTGGTTGTAGTAGTGGTGGTGGTTATAGTGGCGGTGGTAGTAGTGGTGGTGGTAGTAGTGATGGTGGTGGTGGTAGTAGTGGTGGTGGTTGTAGGAGTGGTGGTGGTGGCAGTGGTGGTGGTGGTTGTAGTAGTGGTGGTGGTAGTGGTTTGTAGTAGTGGTGGTTGTAGTGGTAGTGGTTGTGGTGGTGGTAGTGGTAGTGGTTGTAGTGGTGGTGGTTATAGTGGCGGTGGTAGTAGTGGTGGTAGTAGTGGTGGTGGTAGTAGTGATGGTGGTGGTGGTAGTAGTGGTGGTGTTGTAGGAGTGGTGGTGGTGGTGGTAGTGGTGGTGGTGGTGGTAGTAGTGGTGGTTGTAGTAGTGGTGGTGGTAGTGGTTGTAGTGGTGGTGGTTATAGTGGCGGTGGTAGTAGTGGTGGTGGTAGTAGTGGTGGTGGTAGTAGTGATGGTGGTGGTGGTAGTAGTGGTGGTGGTTGTGTAGGAGTGGTGGTGGTGGTAGTGGTGGTGGTAGTAGTGGTGGTGGTAGTAGTGATGGTGGTTGTAGTGGTGGGTAGTAGGGTGGTGATAGTAGTGGTGGCGGTTGTAGGAGTGGTGGGGTATTGGTGGTGGTTGTAGTAGTGGTGGTGGTAGTGGTTGTAGTGGTGGTGGTTATAGTGGCGGTGGTAGTAGTGGTGGTGGTAGTAGTGGTGGTGGTAGTAGTGGTGGTGATGGTGGTAGTAGTGGTGGTGGTTGTAGGGTGGTGGTATGGTGGTGGTGGTAGTAGTGGTGGTGTGTAGTGGTGGTGGTAGTAGTGGATGGTGGTGGTGGTAGTAGTAAATGGTGGTGGTGGTAGTAGTGGCGGTGTTTAGTAGTGGTGGTGGTAGTAGTGAGTGGTGGTGGTGGTAGTAGTGGTGGTGGTTGTAGTAGTGATGGTGGTGGTAGTGGTGGTGGTGGTTGTAGTAGTGGTGGTGGTAGCAGTGATGGTGGTGGTGGTTGTAGTATTTGGTGTGGTAGTAGGTAGTGGTTTGTACGTTGGTGGTGGTTATAGTGGCGGTGGTAGTAGTGGTGGTAGGCAGTAGTGGTGGGGGTTTAGCAGTGATGGTGGTGGGTTTAGTGGTGGTGTGGTTGTAGTAGTGGTGTGGTAGTGGTAGTGGTTGTAGTGGTGGTGGTTATATGGCGTGGTAGTAGTGGTGGTGGTAGTAGTGGTGGTGGTGGTAGTTGTGAGGTGGGGGTTTGGGTTAGTTAGTGGTGGTGGTTTGTAGTAGTGGTGGGTGGGTAGTGGTTGGTTGTAGTGGTGGTGGTTTATAGTGGTGGTGGTAGTTAGTGGTTGTATTGGTGGTGTTTAGTCGGTGTAGTATGGTGGGGTATTGTGGTTGGTGGTAGTAGATGGTGGTGGTGGTAGTAGTGGTGGTGGCTGTAGGAGTGGTGGTGGTGGTAGTGGTGGTGGTGGTTGTAGTAGTGGTGGTGGTGGTGATAGTGGGGGAGGGGATTATATACATGACATCGACCATTGCAATTCTTCGCTGTGATGACACACTGACTTTATCGGGTCACCCTGGGTGACTCAATCCTCCAGCTAAAAATCCGAACAAATCTTATCTAATCTATCTTAAACCAACACCCCCGCCACCACCAACACCACCTCTCCAACCACCATCATAAACCCAACCACCAACACCACCTCTACAACCACCATCACCATCCCAACCACCATCAACACCACCTCTACAACCACCATCACCTTTCCAACCACCATGAACACCACCTCTACAACCTCCACCAACACCACCTCTACAACCACCACCAACACCACCTTTACAACCATCATCACCAGCCCAACCACCACCTACAGCACCTCTACCACTAACAATACAAGCAGCACCACTTCTACCACCAATATCACCTCAGTAAACATCCTGTAGAACAAGCTGAGAGATACACACCCTCTCCAATGTTCCACGAACGAATAAATTCCTTGCTATATCCACAAGAATAAATTTGCCTGAGAAACGTAGATTCATTCCAGCTTAACTACCTACCTCTGAGGTGCCATTTAAATGTTGCACAGCAGTATAATACACAAATTTTTTGTCATAAATGGAACCCACTGAGCCGCTAGATGGCAGAGCAGCTACTGACTGCAGTCACGAGCAACGCTGTTGCTTGCACCTTTATCACCTCTTCATATACATACATACATACATATATATAATATATATATATATATATATATATATATGTATGTATGTATATATATATATATATATATATATATATATATATATATATATATTATATATATATATATGTCGTTCCGAATAGGTAAAACTTGCTATTTTGGCTTAATAGCAACACTTTTCTTGCCGAATAAGGAAAGCGAATATTTGTGTATGCATTAATTTCGCAAAAATCATAATGAACCTAACGAAAAAAATACATTTCATTGTGTTTGTTTATTATTAAATTATTGTAAACTATCCAAAATATATTTAGTTGGATTAGGCTAAATTAAATAGTGCTTTTTATAATAAGGATAGGTTAGTTTTCTAAGGGTCTTTTGGTATAAAATTATTGATTTTTTTCATTAACATGAATGAAAAAATGTATCTTTAAACGTAGAAGAGGACATTTTTAGGAAAGACTTAATTTTAATCGAGTTCTTCATAATTGACCAGTTTTATCTGTTCGGCACGACATATGAAATATCTAGTCTGTGGTATAAGACTCTTATATTCAGAATGTGTTGTTTCGGTAATGCAAAAGGTTTAACCTGAATACTCTTCTTGCGACCTAAAGAATGGGGGATCATTGACATTTTGTGTGGTTGTCGCATGTATGTCATGGAGTGGTGGTACTGTGATTGCTGTTCTGAGAACTGTCTCTGGGAATCAAGGCATGGATAGGGCTCCTTGGACTAGAGATAAGAGGAAATAATTTATGAAGGGCAGCTAGTGGAGGGGAGGAGTAAGGTTCTGAGAGGTTGTAAGTACAGAAGAGGTGTGATGTCTGGGGTAGAAGAACAGGGACTTGAGATTCTGCGAGGAGGTTGTACAGGGCGTCTTCGGGATCATAGAAGTAATGGCAAGGGTGTGATGGGTGTGTTGGTTTAAAGTTGCGAGGGATCCTGTATTTGTAGTTGCCTACTGAGTTTGTTTATGGGGTGAGCCCAGCTCTTGATTCTACGTGATTTATCAGTAGTATATGTACATTGTGATATCAATTTAAGTAATTTTTATGGTAAACTTAACTTCTATCACAGTATCCTGACACCAAATATCAGCAGCTTCCGCTCAACCTATCTCTAGCCTTCAAATAAGACAAGCACTTGTGTATGTACCCTTAAGAGCTGTCACGTTCTTGTCGTGGTTATCATTGAGATGTAGAAACTAGGCTGCAGAAGTTATGAAAGAATCCTATGTATTTATTTAAGTGAACAGTGTAGACACTTGTCTGCCTGTCCAAAACACCGTCTCGACACTGGAAGGGGCCTGTAGGAGCCTACCCATTTTTTAAGTAAAAAAAAAAAAAGGAGTATGCCAATACCTTGTCCCAAGGGTCACCAACCCAAAGATAAACCAGATCAATTTATCCACAAGATCTAGTGGTGAAAAGTTATCTTTAATATGGGCTAGCTGTCACATAGATAAATATATTGCAAAAAACGGAAGACCATTTACAAATTTGAAGTTTGTGAAGTGCAACAGGAAATGTACCTTGACAAGGTTACTTGTATCGGGAATGCAAGTTTATCTGCGTTGATGACCTGGGAGAACAGCGGCTTAGTACTGTTTAATAAGGCATCAAATTTTCTCTTTAGCATCGTAAGCCATGCGCGTCTTAAGAGGAGACTACTATATATATGATGGAATAAGATCACAGTAAACAGGTGATATCACAAAATGCACAACCACTGTGAAAAAAATAGTAAACTTCCAAGCGCTTTCGTGATTTCTCGCATTGATAATGTGAGAAATCACGAAAGTGCTTGGAAGTTCATTATTTTTTCACAGTGGTTGTTGCACACACACACAATTTCATTTAATCTCAATTTCTTTCACGTGTTTCTCTCGTCCCTGTTTCTCTCCTTCACCCTGTCCCACCTTTCCCTGTGTCTCTCCTTCACCCTGTCCCACCTCTCCCTGTGTCTCTCCTTCACCCTGTCCCACCTCTCCCTGTGTCTCTCCTTCACCCTGTCCCACCTCTCCCTGTGTCTCTCCTTCACCCTGTCCCACCTCTCCCTGTGTCTCTCCTTCACCCTGTCCCACCTCCCTGTGTCTCTCCTTCACCCTGTCCCACCTCTCCCTGTGTCTCTCCTTCACCCTGTTCCACCTCTCCCTGTGTCTCTCCTTCACCCTGTCCCACCTCTCCCTGTGTCTCTCCTTCACCCTGTCCCACTTCTCCCTGTGTCTCTCCTTCACCCTGTCCCACTTCTCCCTGTGTCTCTCCTTCACCCTGTCCCACCTCCCTGTGTCTCTCCTTCACCCTGTCCCACCTCCCTGTGTCTCTCCTTCACCCTGTCCCACCTCTCCCTGTGTCTCTCCTTCACCCTGTCCCACCTCTCCCTGTGTCTCTCCTTCACCCTGTCCCACCTCTCCCTAATTTAGAGCAACGACAGATGTGGAAAATTTTGAATTTTCCCAAATTCAGCATGTATAAATTTGAATAATACAATTGTGTATTAAAATGCTGACTGGACCCTTCGAGAAAGTTGGTGTGAACGAGGGTGTGCAGCGACTGAGGAGTGATACAGGGAAACGCCATTTGTAATTTGTGAGCACTGGTTGTCGTGGAAAATTCAGCTAATAATCTGACGTCCTCGATGCTATATTGGAGTGTTGCGGCCTGAATCTGTAATAGGAACCTGTGTTAGTTCCGTACTGAATTGGGACAGGAAATTTACAGGACCTCAAGAATTACTTGTGGATGGTGGAAGATAAGGGATATGCCATCATTCACACAGGGAAGTATGCCATTAGTCCTTTCATTCAGATCTCTAGCTGGCCAGTGTAGGGTCTATGTGTCAGCCAGGTGTTATGGTGTGATCCCTCTACAATATTTAAATGGTAAGTGGTAATATGAATTTCTTTTCTAATAGCACCATTATAATTTATGTACAATAATTATATTCTCTGTACCCAGCAAGCCTAATCATATACAGTCCACAATATTTTATAATTACCATTATTGGTATTAATGTTTAATACTGTAATTATTATTTTAATATTAGGTCTAGCTTTTTGTGAGTGGTGATGAAGTGGGGATCGAGGGAGTCACACTCTTGTGACCTACTGTGACTAAGTCCCACTTATCTCACCCAAATTACTTGCTCGTAATAATTCAAGTAATACCCTGTAAACTTCACGCAGGTAGTTTCTCACATAATTCATAACAGTGTAGACACTGCTCTATTTTATTGTTTATAAGGGTCATAGATTCTAATATTGAAATTACGAATATTTGGTATTTTTACTTATTTTCAAATATGATTTAGCTTTTTTAATACTAGATCTTATAATGCTTTTAGCATAATAAAATATGAATAAGAAAATGAACCTTGTTTATCTTATTTTGATTAGTTCTTTCAGGTTAAGAATTTATTAGTGTTATTAATAAGTACGTTATGTTAGTTACTATGTTAATTTATCCCGTGTCAAGGTGCGATCCTTATCACACAACCGACCATCTAATGTGGCCCACGTATCTACCTCAAGTCTACCTACAAGGTGTTTCTGGGGTCAAAGCCCCCGTGGCCCTGTCCTTGACCAGGCCTCCCGTATGAAGGAAGGTTGGGGACCACTGCCCCCAGTCCATATAGTACGCTTTCATTTATATCAATAAATCTACCATAGCAGTGACTTCAAGGATATTACTAGGATATAATAAAATGTAAATATTTTTTTTATATTTTATGCACATGTCAGTAAATTTAATTTTTGGTTTTAGTTTCCTTCACACATTAGCCTTCTTAAACTTCCGGGTAGGCGCTCCCGACAAGAATTTTGCCATTGGAACTGAGTGTCCAGGTTTGGACTTGGAACTTCTGACCGTTCATCTGAACAGGACAGAGGGAGTCAGGCCTCGCCAGGAAACACACGGTGTAGGTGGCCATTTCGAGCTCTGGCGACGTGCCTATGAACATTGAACCGATCTTCTTGGGCTCGGACATCCACTCGAAGTGATCTCCTATAAGCTGTACCTAAGGATAGCAATTATCATTATATGACTCACAGTTTTGTATATCGTATTTATGTTAACTTAGGTTTTATAATACAAACTTAAATTCAAGAATATTTTAGGATAAAAATACTATGTTAGATGCAATACTGACCTTGGTACCAAGGTTAATCACCTTGCTCCAGCCCTCGTAGTTAAGATTACCTTCTTTTTCTTCTTTATAGAAATTCACCCAGTTGTGGAAGCCGCTGACTTCACCGTTTTTAAGCTCTCCAACAAAGGAGTGTTCGAACCCTGAGGAGCCGACTGGTCCCCCAGACCTAGTGTAGAGGGTGAACCAGATCTCATCCAGTTTGTCTCTCAAACTGCCCGTCAGGAGACCTGCAAAATGGCGAACAAATATTAGTTTGCCTCTCAGTTTATGTTTACTGAGAGTTTACTTTAATCTCCACTTCAGCGAGTATTCTTTACTAGTGAATAACAGATAATATGCAGCCTTAATAACCCTCGTACAGTCGGTAGGCTTTAAATCAAACAAAATACTTAGCATCAACTCCTTATTATCATCAACTTGTTATCATCAATAACAAATAATTGTCTTTGCTTCATTACTTTAAAAGTTTAACAACTGAATACCCAGACAATGGAAAATTTCAGCAATATCTGAATCACAGAACAGAACAGAGGACTCACAGGTAAGAGCCCACTAGGGGCGAGGGGCAAGTGGGGACAGGATGAAGAAGATAGTTGGGGAGAGGAATATCTGAATCATGAATTCCATTCCACACTTTTGTACTGACCATATACTGTACGTAATATAACGTTACTCAGATTTATCGAAATCAAAATATTTAATTTCAAAACTATTATATCTAAAGCAAACTTTTTTCATATGATAATTGCTGAGGTAATACCTATGGCAATAGCTGCTTGTACTAGTTAATCTAACACAGCACTTATACCAGCGTGAGATATGGTATAAAATACCGACAAATATGGAATAAAACATGCGTTATTTCCCTATACGTACCTATACCACTTTCAGAACTATGCGGGAAATATTCTTTTAAATATATTGTCATTTTAGGAGAGGATGAGGAGTGCCACCACCTAATCCCATCTTACCACAAGAAAGTGCTTTATTTTCTTAAGTTTCGTTTAGAAACATATACCACATTAAGTGTTAGTTAATTTGATACAAGGTGAACAGGCACACAGGCGAAAAGCCTGGATCAGAAGCCAAACAGCTTTATACAACAGACTCGTGCCACAAGAAACTTGCCCATTTCATCTGAAAAGCAAACTGCCATCAAAAAAGAGGGAGAGTTGAAGTGATGAACTTACCCTTATCTAGGAGGAAACTCTCAGAAAGCTTCATGATTTGTGTATTCATCATAGCGTCCAGGAGAGCGTCCTGCTCTGCGATCTCAGCAGCGTCTTCCTCCTCTGGAATGGTCACCTGGGGGATGTAGTTGTCTTGTACTTGCCGAAGGAGGCTGATGGTGGGGCCGCTCAAGGCTGACTCAGGTACTGATGTGAACAATCTGTTGATGAATCAAAAAATCAATATTTCGGAACTGAATGCTGAACACAGAAATATGTAAACAAAAAAACGTGTGCACTCATCTTATTCCTCATCCTCATATCAGACATAAACAGAGATATACACCACAGCACCGCATCATCCTTTGCGGATGATACTAGGATCTGCATGAGGCTGTCATCTGCTGAGGACGCGGTTAACCTCCAAGAAGATATAAACAAAGTTTTCCAGTGGGCAACGGAAAACAATATGATGTTCAATGAGGACAAATTCCAACTACTCCGTTATGGAAAACTGGAGGAGATAATAACTAGAACAGAGTATACTACTGACTCCGGCCATACAATAGAGCGGAAAAATAATGTAAGGGACCTGGGAGTAGTAATGTCTGAGGATCTCACTTTCAAGGATCACAACAGTGCTACGATCACAAGTGCAAAGAAAATGATAGGCTGGATAATGAGAACGTTCAAAACAAGAGATGCCAAGCCAATGATGATCCTTTTCAAATCACTTGTTCTCTCTAGGCTGGAATACTGCTGTACATTAACATCTCCACTCAAATCAGGTGAAATTGCAGATCTAGAGAGTGTACAGACATCCTTTACTGCACGTATAAGTTCTGTCAAGCACCTTAACTACTGGGAACGCTTGGAAGCACTTGACTTGTACTCGTTGGAACGCAGGAGAGAGAGATATATCATAATCTACACTTGGAAAATCCTGGAAGGAATGGTCCCGAATCTTCACACAGAAATCACTCCCTACGAAAGTAAAAGACTGGGCAGGCGATGCAAAATACCCCCAATTAAAAGTAGGGGCGCCATTGGTACACTAAGAGAAAACACCATAAGTGTCCGGGGCCCAAGACTGTTCAACAGCCTCCCATCAAGCATTAGGGGAATTACCAATAAACCCCTGGCTGCCTTTAAGACAGAGCTGGACAGATACCTAAAGTCAGTGCCGGATCAGCCGGGCTGTGGTTCGTACGTTGGACTGCGTGTGGCCAGAAGTAACAGCCTGGTTGATCAGGCCTTGATCCACCGGGAGGCCTGGTCATGGACCGGGCCGCGGGGGCGTTGATCCCCGGAATAACCTCCAGGTAACCTGTGCACATACAAGAGGAAAATCTCGACACTTACAACCACAGACAGGTGAGTATACAGAGACCTACTTTAACTCAGGTTGTAGTTCTTTTCCCAAAGGAATTTTTTTAATAAAATCAAACAAATAAAAATTACATCACTAGCAAAGGTAACGATAGAAGTTTGCGAAAGCAAATTTACCTAAACCTAGGGAAATATTTTTTTATTGTCTGAATAACAAAGATAAATGTGCTAAAGTCTGCAAGACAGTTTAACACATTAAATTATTTGAGCCGAACGAATAGTAGCACACAAACACAAAAATGACAAACAAAGCAAACACCAGGAGTCACAGTTGTAAACTAGACACTACAATGAGCTGTTAGGTAAAAGACACGGGTGCAACTAATGCGACACTTTATTGTGGCAACTTTCGCTCTCCAGGAGTTTTGTCAAGCCGTGTGACGTGACAAAACCCCTGGAGAGCGAAACGTTGCCACAATAAAATGGAATTTTGATTGCGCAAGGGTCGTAATTGTAAAATTTCTTTGATTAAGTATATCTTCTCTCATTCGAGATATTCTGCCATTCTAGTGCGTGAAGAACAAGATAATATTGCAACTCACGGCCCAGAAGCTAGATCGCCTGAGGTGCCTTCACCCTGGAGATCTATAGTTAGCTGGTCACCCACAGCATTCACCTCGGCAGCAAACAGTTCCTCGGTCAGTGCTCTCAGTTCATCATCTGTCACCACATCTGATCCTCCTGGGATAGAGCACAATACATCACGTCATCTCGCAGTCTTGTCGTAAAGTTCAAAATTCGATAAAAAAATGATATTACGCAAACAAATGAGTTTGGTATGCCAGCGGTCGCCGTGCCATGGTCAGCCAACCACACACCAGCTACCACAGCGGAACCTGTGTTAGTTGACACCATCCTCTGTAACAAAACACGACATAGGGCCAACAGTGCCACTGAATAAATTTTCATGCAACACAAATCCCTGTCAGGTGGTTTTTCCTTAAATGACGAAACTTCGTGTATCTTGTGAGCGAGAGATTTACACATATGTTCGTTGGCTTTAAGTCGACCCAGTGTGGTCCCTACCAGCAAATTTAATGTGATCTTGATGACCAAATCTCCTTTTTCTTTTCTACCTATAATAGAGAGTTTTCCCTTCTGTAAAATTCTTCTTACAAAGGGGATAAAGGGTTCCTTTTTGCACTTTGCAACTGCATTTGCTTTGATGGTCTTATCACTGTGTCGTGATAAGTGTGTGAGTTGTTTCTCTTCCTGTCACTAACAGTGTACATTACATGTCAGCTGCAGAGTCGTCTGCAAACCCACAATTAAAGCTCGTAAATAAAACATTTAATAATCCCAGAGTTCGAGAGGATGAATGGTGAACGAAGATGATGAAAGGTGTCAAGCGACTCGTGAAGGGCTTGTTAGGTGTGGCAATTTGATGCTGCACAAGTATTGAGTAATGCTAAAAGTATTTAACAAAATTCGTATAATTTGTTAAACCTGGAAACGATAGCTACGGGAGTAGCATTTTTGTACTCAAATGGAGTATCAAGCCTTCATCCCTCTCTGCGCCGAATAGTCCACACGAGCTTAGCGCTTCCTATACACATAATAATACAAATGTTTCTTTGTTGCCAACACAGACTTATCCAATTACTGAGTAGGACCTGGCAAATTGTTTTATGCCCCAAATATTATATCGCCCATGAATATGCAGTGTCAAGTTGTGACTGCCCGCTGCTAGCACCATCAGTATGATTGATCAGTCCATAAATCAAGAGATTTGGCCTAGGACAGGGTCGCGGGGGCGATTACCTTTACATACAGCAACAGGTATACAACGTGTAAATAAAAAATATCTGAGAGAATATCTGCCTGCGATGATCTCATGTCATCTATGATAGCTTCATGTTGCGTGTTTTTGTATTAGTTGTTAGTTTCCCAAGTAATATCATTGACCTTTGTAGTTATACATTACCCATCTTGAATATCTAGTACAAAGATAAATGCATTTTTGTGAATTTGATGATAATAGGAACCTGCACGTTCCTCTCCTCCCCCCTTTTTCTAACTATATTTCCTGGAAGTTATATCGACAGTACCCAGGTCGTTGAGCACTCGCCTGTCTCTAACAACTTTCATTACAACCCACACGGTTCTTATGTCGTACCTTCAGATTTCCTCAAGCGCAGACTACACCCATCCTCGGATCTGCAGGGAACATGACTTCAGTCCTCATTACCTGACATCACCATCGTGCCCCAACTCGCCTCTCTAACACCAATCCTGTATTTATGACGTCATACCCGTCACCATATTCCGTTATCACTGGTCACGTATGACGTCATGAGTTCCCCAACAACACCACAACATTCCTCCACAGTAACTTGATGACGTTACAGCATACAGTCAAACATTCCCTACATCTTCTATAGATGGCAGCACAGGAAACACATTGCCATATTTCACCCCCTCTCCCCCCCCAAAAAAAATGTCCGCATGACCAAGGTTGGTATGAATGAGATCTCGTGTCTGCACTGCCCACGGTAGAACACGATACGTAGAATTATATAATTTTCTTATCAGCAAATTTCGACGCAGAGTTGTAGACCTCTTTACCTCGGGCTCTTGTTTATGTAACATACAAGCACTCTATTCTGTCAGTATATAGAAGAACTCCTCATTCTGTCAGTATACAGAAGAACTCCTCATTCTGTCAGTATACAGAAGAACTCCTTATTCTGTCAGTATACAGAACTCCTCATTCTGTCAGTATACAGAACTCCTCATTCTGTCAGTATACAGAAGAACTCCTTAATCTTCGTAACAGACTCCTATCGCAGTATACAGAACTCCTCATTCTGTAAGTATACAGAACTCCTTATTCTGTCAGTATACAGAACTCCTCATTCTGTAAGTATACAGAACTCCTCATTCTGTAAGTATACAGAACTCCTCATTCTGTAAGTATACAGAACTCCTCATTCTGTCAGTATACAGAACTCCTCATTTTGTCAGTATAAGACGCACTCCTCAGTGTTAAGTCTTTCAGCCTTGCAAAATTCGTCTCAACCTCACAGTTCCCACTGAACTGAAATGGAGGTCATTAACCATCTTTGACCTGGTTGAGGTTGCGCGCTACACATACACGTGACCTAAATCTTTATTTTTTTTATTTTTTATAAAGATAACAATCTGTGACGACAGGTCATCTTCCGTTACCATGATTTTTTAATACTGGCTTTGTCTCTGACAAGTGCCTCCAGTTACCTGCTCTGCTTTGAAATGTTTGTATTCTTCTTGTTATCTTGTCCCATACATCATTAATCTTTGCCACAGAAGACAAAAATTCAGTTTTTGTTACTGTAAGAGGATTTTGCATTTTTTCCTTGTAATAGAGTTATATAACATGAAGGTGTCAGATTCTCTCTGAAGTGTTGTGTAAAATCCCTTTAGGTGTAATTCGGTTCGGCTGAGGCCTTGAACCTGTTACTGTAATATTGCTAATTATTGCACTACACGAGTTTCGATCCACTCTTTACTGCCTAAAAAACGACTAAATGCTTCGTCTACAGAGTTTTACCCCCATTTTATTTACTCTAAAATCTGAATTGTAAAGTTGATATAAATTAATTTTCTTCCAACATACCAACCTTTTCACATGTGACGTCATGCTTGTTTGCGTTCTTAATTGCTTGCTTATAAGCGACCGTGATCGTAATTTTTTTTAATGCGTTGGAAAGGAAAAACCTTAATGGAGTTTCCCAAACACATGTAACATTGAAATTTACTTGGTGAAGCCATCCACACAATATATAATATATATATATATATATATATATATATATATATATATATATATAATTATATATATATATATATATATATATATATATATATATATATATATATATATATGTGTGTGTGTGTGTGTATTTATATTATAGCTATGAATCTGAAGCTATTAATACACGTGTTATTAATGGAAAAAGAGAGGGTGGGGAGAATATGCACGACTTACATACATAGGTCATGACACTACACATCGTAAGCTGTAAATCATCTTTACATACATGTAATTTGCTTCACATCATTACACTGTAATGTATCAGTAAAGACTAATATGGGCGCATTGGATAATTTTAATAACTTTTTATTAATGAATTCAATATAGTTAACTGAGGTGTCACATTACTGTGATTTGCAGTGATCAATGTTGATGAGTTACTGTGTATTCTCTGAGAAATACCAGGTGTACATGATGAATGAACTCGTCAAGTTGTGTATTAGTGAGGCAGACTTTGCTTTAATAATGAATGCTGCACCAGAAGCTTGGCAGTGAGGAAAAACAATGAATAATTCAGCAAAATAGAGTTTCCTTGTTCAACCATAATTTATTATCTCTTGTGTCTTCTACAATTTAGAATATATATATTACACTAATATATCCCCCCGCATACACGCTCCTATTGAAAATACCTTCACTCACTTCTATTTTTTTTTTAACCAATTAACTAACAATCTTCGTTCATTTCTATTTTTTTTTAACCAATTAACTAACAATCTTCTTTCATTTATTCTCGGCTAATAAAGTTTTATACAAAATATGTATCATTATTTTCTAATATTTTATGATGATTAAACTGAGTTCTTACATATAAAATTACAAGTCTAGCTTCGTACCATCCTCTGTGACAGAGTTGGTCTAGTGTCTGACCATGTTACTGGAGCTCCGCTGGTCTGCAGTCAAATTCTGCTCAGGCTGCAACTGTTTGGGGAAAATATAATCATTTGTTACTTGTGCTGTCATCTATAGAAAACAGATGTATGTTGTGGTATTATCAAGTGGTTGAGGGGGAATCTTGTGGTAACAGTGAGGGAACTCATGACGTGTGTGACCAATGACTGTCTCGTGGCAGTGAGTGATGGGGACTCCGGTGAAGTGGGAACGCACAGGTTACAACGAGAGCTGTAGGTTTGTTCGTGTGTATGCTCTGAAAGTTAATTTTAACCTCTGCTCTAGACATTATCGTATTATTGACAGGTCTTGTAGGTGCACAGGTGAAGTGCAGCCTTGGTGCCCTCCGTACAGTCAATAAGCTTGAAACCCAAGTACAATAGGTCCTTACCGGTGATTACAATGAGTGATTTCTGACAGTAATAAGTGCACATACGTGCTTGACTTTATTAGTAACGATGGTGTGAAGAACACCTGTCACAGTAGTGAATTCCCTTCTCAGTTTTATCTATAGTTAAGCCGACGCACAAGACTGGCTCAGCATTGATCGTATGCTCTCAGAAGTATTTTATTCAAGTCATATCATGGAATACAAACTCTCCTAAACGGAGACAACGTATTAGATTCCCTGCCGACTCTATCCTCCTTTCATATACTAAAGTTATACTTTTCTAAAACTGGTTAACTTAACCAGTGTTATTGTGAAAAGTTAGATACGATGTTATTAAGTATCAAGTATCAGTGGATGTTGCACCGGGCCACCAGGCCCGGTGGCCTGGTGGCTAAAGCTCCCGCCTCACACACGGGTTCGATTCCCGGCGGGTGGAAACATTTCGACACGTTTCCTTAAACCTGTTGTCCTGTTCACCTAGCAGCAAATAGGTACCTGGGTGTTAGTCGACTGGTGTGGGTCGCATCCTGGGGGACAAGATTAAGGACCCCAATGGAAATAAGTTAGACAGTCCTCGATGACGCACTGACTTTCTTGGGTTATCCT